TGGCTAGAGTAATTCTGTCTTAGGTTGTATGTGCAGTAGGAGATGAACAGGTCTGAGAGGAATGGGTACATTATCTCTTTAGAACATGAGGTCAACCCTAAGCTGGCTCTCATAGTCTTTCCAGTATAGAAACTGTCCTGAGGATGCTCCCTGTCATCTGCTTCCTTATCTCCTCACAGCCCAGAAGGCTCCCCTGAAAACAGGACCCTGGCATACTACAGCTGCCACCACAGGTGAGTAGGCATCACCAGAAAGATCTCAGAGAAAGGACCATAAGTTGGAAAGGGAAGAATGATGGAGGTATTTGGCTGCCTGTGAATCTGGGCTTGATCCCAGCTTTGTAGCTTATGACTTTGGTGAACTTAGGCAAGATACTTAAACCTCTAGACCTTAGTTTTCTCTGTAAAATGAGGGAGTTAGCCACTACCAGCTCCAAATTAATTTGTTGAAATTATTATCTCTTATTTTTGTACAGATGTGAAGAGTAGGAAGCCAATCTCTGCCGTCTCTGCACCAAAACCTGGTAGGTAACTAATCTAATCCTTCAGGTTAGGCAGTGGACCATTTGTAGAGAGAATAGCAGATGTACTGAGTGCTCTACAAAAACTTTTAGCCCGTTTCTGTCTCCCGTATGAGATAAGAAGGCGGGAATGGGAGGCAATGATGTTTATTACTCACTAAAAGGAGAAGAGAATGGAGCTAGAGTTTTCACTCACCTTGCTGTTCTTTCTTATTCCTAGTATCAGGAGTGTCCCCTACAACAGCAAGGAAGGGACCTAGCAAGCGTCCAGCCTGGGATGTGAAAGGACAGCTGTGTGACTTACGTAAGGAGTTCAGTGCCTGCCAAGTACAGACTGAGGCTCTAACCAAGGAGAATCGGGAACTAAAGAGCCAGTTTGGGCAAGCTGAGCAACAAGCCAAAACTCTGGAGGCTGAGAACAAGGTGTTGATTGGGGAGCTGACTGAGATTCGGGCCCAAGCTAAGCAAGACCAGCTGGAGCTGGGGAAGTTGAGTGCCCGGGTCCAGGAGCAGGAGGAACGTCTGCATACTCAGGAAGGCCTCATTCAGTCAATTCAAGAAGAGCGGTTACATTTGCAAGAGGAGAGAAGGAACCTGGCTGCTAGGCTAGAGGTACAGGAGGTGAGTGACAGTTATGTGGACAAAGTATCATCCTATATGCGTTCACATGGAGTTCTTGCTGACTTTTCTCTGGGGGATGTTTGACTTTCTCCATTTTACTTGTGGCTTGGAGTGTGCCTTCCTCTCTTGGGTTTTTCATCTGAGCTAAGGGCCCCTCTCCTCAGTTTTGACCCTGCATCTTTCAAGGAGTTTCTATGTATAATTTCCCTTGCCTTATACAATTTCTTTCATCTGAATTTTTATTTCATTTTCTCTCTTCTTTCTTGCCATCTGTGAGGAGAAAACTCCTCATCCCCTTTCTTCCATTCTATCTATATATCTGCTTTTCTGATGTGCCTTATCCCATCTTCATTCCTCCTTCTGCATCTCTTCCTTATTCTAATCTCTATTTTTATTCCCTCCCCACCAGTTACACTGTTCCTTGTCACAGTGGCCAGTCCTGATACTTTCCTCCACACTTCCTGACCTCTCTTTCCCTCTTCCATCTCTGTCCTATGCCAGGCACAACTCCAAGAATCAATGGCAGCCCTGGCCAAGAGTCAGGCAGAGATCACAACCCAGGCAGCCTTGTTGGCTGAGAGGACAGAGCATCTGCATGGTCTTGAGATGGAGCGTCGGTATCTTCACAACCAGCTGCAAGAGCTCAAGGGTAACATCCGGGTCTTTTGCCGAGTCCGCCCTGCCCTACCTGGAGAGCCCACACCACCTCCTGGCCTCATCCTCTTTCCTCCTGGGCCCAATGGGGCCTCTGAACCTTCCACTCGACTCAGCCTTACTCGGCCACCTGAAGATCGGTGTAGCATCATAGGAGGGCTACCAGGTCCTCCTGTCCGATATGACTTCTCCTTTGACCGAGTGTTCCTACCAGGGAGCAAACAGAACGAGGTGTTTGAAGAAGTCTCCCTGCTTGTCCAGTCAGCCCTGGATGGTTACCCTGTGTGCATCTTTGCCTATGGCCAGACAGGCAGTGGCAAGACATTCACGATGGAAGGAGGGCCAGGGGGAGACCCTCAAGTTGAGGGACTGATCCCACGAGCTGTAAGGCATCTGTTTTCAGTAGCCCGGAAGCTGGAGGCCCAAGGCTGGAGCTATACTTTTGTGGCTAGCTACGTGGAGATCTATAATGAAACCATCAGGGACCTGTTGGCCTGTGTGGGTGGGGCCCAGAAGTGCCAGGGGGTTGAGTATGAGATTCGACTGGCTGGCCCTGGAAGTAAGGAACTTATTGTCACCAATGCCCAATATGTCCCCGTTTCCTGCGAAGAGGAGGTAGGGATTGAGGTAGACAGATGGGGATATGATCAAGGGACAAGAGAGGTGACCGGGAAGTGGGGAGATAGAGTTGGAGATGGGGTGCAGGGATATAGGAAAGATTTGAGGTTGTGGGAAGTTGTCAGATTAGGTGCAAGGTACTGGGAGTGGGGAAATGTTTGTTCTACAGAAACCAAGAGTTTATGTGGGCTCATTGAGAAGATGCTGACAATGACAATCTTACTTTCTGAATTCAGGTGGAGTCCCTGCTCCATCTGGCTCGTCAGAATCGGGCAGTGGCTCGAACAACACAAAATGAACAGTCATCACGAAGCCACAGTGTGTTCCAGCTGCAGATTTCAGGCAAGCACATGGGGCAGAACTTACACTGTGCTGCCCCTCTCAACCTAGTGGACCTGGCTGGGAGTGAAAGACTGGACTCTGGCTTGTCCACTGGTCCTGGAGATCGAGAACGACTGAAGGAGACCCAGGCCATCAACAGCAGCCTCTCTACTCTGGGCCTTGTCATCATGGCCCTGAGCAATAAGGTAGGGATAAGGGAGATCATAGCTGAGCCATTTGTTCTGAAATTTTAAAATGCTGACTTGTCCCATTTTAATGCCACCTTCCCCACAACCCAGGAGTCACATGTGCCATACCGGAACAGCAAGCTCACGTACCTGCTGCAGAATTCTCTAAGGGGCAGTGCCAAAATGTGAGTTGGGTTGGGAGTAGTGGGAATAGCAACTGATACACCAGGGTGTTAAGGATGGAAGGAACTTAAGGACTAGCTATAAGCAACACTAACAAGTCTGGACAAGGGAGGGATCAGTGTCCTAGGAATGTTGCCTTTGTGCTGAACCCCGTCTCCCACCTAGGCTTATGTTTGTGAATATCTCCCCATTGGAAGAAAACTTCTCAGAGTCCCTCAATTCGCTTCGATTTGCCTCCAAGGTAGGTACATCTCCCATTTTGGACCATAGGCTAAGACTCACAAATTGTTTCTTTTTGACTTCTGTCCTATCAGTCCCTGGCTCTTTGAAGGGCCACTGTGCTTTTGCCCAGGTTGCCTATCAGGGCTCACTATAGCACCTCATTCCCAGGGCTAGGGTATCTGGGCACCTGCTTCCAGATTTCCTTTGAAGGAGTTCTAGAAGGATTGTATCTGCCCCAAGGAATTGTTCTGGTGCTGACATAGGCATCTCTTTTCCCTTTCCAGGTAAACCAGTGTGTTATTGGCACTGCACGAGCCAACAAGAAATAGGACCAGTCTTTGTGACCTGTGTGTGTGTGGTTTTTATGTATGTGTAAAAGGTGGTATTTGTAATTAATTAGAGTGGCAACTTGCATTATATAACTAGGTTAATATAACCATAAATTACAAAATAAAGTTATCTTAGCACGTGTTGTCAGAGCAATTTTATGCGTTGGTTACTTTTGTTGAATTGCTGTCACTTTGTTCTTCAAGAAGCCGGTGCCTAAGTAGAGATGTATCTGGAAATGAAGGTAGTGTAGAAAACAAAGCAAAGATCCCTCTAAAAATTGCTTTCTTTCTCCACTTTCTCGGGAAGTTTTTTTCCGGAAAGCTGGGGTGAGGGGCCGAGCGATACGAACCGGGATGTCTTTCCCTGAGGGTCTCTGGTGCCGTGGGGCGAGGCGCGCTGGCCACCGGGGCTTGGAGAGCTGCCCGGGCATCTCACCCCGCCCTTCCCCGCCGTTCGAATTGGTCGTCCGCGTCTCCTCGGCGCGTTCTGGGTTGGGCAGCTCCGGCCTTAGCCTCGGCGGGCAGGGCTGAGCGGGCTCCGGGGATGACTCAACGCCCGCTCCCGAAGACCCGCCAGCGAGCTCCCGCTGGAGCGCCCCATTCAAACCGCCCGGGCCCCGCCCCGTTTCCTTTTCATTGGCTCTGTCTGCGTTAACGCCCCCGGCCCCGGCAATTGTCCGACAACCCCACTTCGGCCCTCGGCCCTCCTCCTTCCTTACTGCCCCGCGCCTTCCGCCCTCCTGGGCCTAGAGAAGCAGAGGGGGGAACGCTGCGCCAGCCCGCAACAGCCCCGCCCCCGCGAGGAAAAGGGGGACCTCCAGCTCCGCAGGTGCCGCGCGAGGGGTCGCAGCGAAAAGGTGGGGAAGGGAGGTGGATCCGCGCATGCGCCCTTACGGGGAGGCTGGGTGGACGCAACCAGAGGGGGAAGGGGCGGGGCTCGGGGCAATTAGAGGAGGGTGGGGCAGGGGCGGTGGGGGGGCAAAGGTGCGGGAATGGGCCGGTGGGGGCGGTGCTCGGGCAGTTTCCGATTGTGGCGCGAGGCCGCTGAGGCCGCGGCGGGGGCGGGGCTGGGGCTGGAGCGGAGCAGGGATTCCCTGCCGCTGGGGGCGGGCCGGGGCCACTCGGAGGGATTCCCCGTCGGCCTCGGCGCCTGGGTCCTGGGAGGAGGGCGAGCATCCAGCCCCACCCCACCCCGCGTGGCCCGCCCGGGAGGCGTAGGGGGTGGGGTGAGGTGGTTCCCGCCCCCCTCCCCCCAGCTCCTCCCTCCCTCCCAGGCCTCCCCCCCCCGCCAGTCCGTCCCTCCCCTCCCTCCCTCCCTGCCTCCCTCCCTCCTCCCTCCTCCCTTCCCTCCTCCTGCTGCTGCCGCCGCCGCCGCCGCCGCCGCTGCTTTGGCTGCTGCGTCATACGCCCCAGAGCAGCCGGGACGGAGGGGCCGGGCCTGGGGACCCCCCCAGCCTCTGTCTGCCCCCTCCTCCGGACGCCTGGACATCTCGGCCCCCGCCCCGGCCCCCCCACGGCTCCCCCTCCCCAGCTCCCCGGCGGCCGCAGCTGTCACCGGTAAGGAGGAGGCGGGGAGGGCGGAGGGGGGTCCAAAGGAGGAAGGGGAGGGGGGAGTCCAGTCCAGGGAGCCCCCCCCCCGGGAGAGGCGTTGGCGCTAGGTGAGGGAACGGAGCCCATCTCCGGCTCCCCCCCACCCCTTGTTTCCTCTCCAGTCACATGCATGCAGAGACCCCCTTTCTCAAGGGGGCTGCCTCATGTCACCTCCAGGTTTGCCCCATCTCGGGGAGTAGAGATTGGGACCAGGACACGCCCCCCTGCCTGGGTACACGGGGAAGTTATCCACCCCACCCCACCCCCCCAACCCTGGGTTAGAGAACCTCAGATTTGAGGGGGACTCAAGATCATCCAGGAATGGGAAGATTCTTCAGAACGGATTGGAGGGAATCTCATTACTGAGGACCCCCCTTCCTCGAAAAGCAGGTTGTCTGAACTCTGACATCTCTGGACAGGGAAATTCCAAGATGAAGCCAGCCAGGATGTAGGGGTGGGACTAGGATCTAAGGGGAGGCCTCTCTTTCTCCAATCCATCATCCTCTTAAAATCCTTGAACCAAGAGAGAAACTCCCTGGGTGAACCAATCCCTGGAGTTATCTTGGGGGTGGGAGACTAGAGAATCAGGTGTCTGTGCTCCCTCTCTCTAGAATCCTAAATCCTGGTGGTTGGGGTAAGGGACTGAAAGAGAAGAGTATGTGATATTGAGCTGTGTGTGGGAGAGCCACGAGAAAGCTGGAATCTTGAATACTTGAGTCCCCTTGGGGGAGCCAGGCAGGGAGAGGTGGATGCTGTTGGGGGTGGGGGGGAGGTAACCCTCCACCCTTTTCCTGCCAGGCTCCCCAGGATGCAATGGCGCAGCCCTCCCGGCTGAGCCGCTCTGCCGCCCCCCAACCCTGGGAGCCCACTCCCCCAGCCCCTTCCCCAGGCACCAGACCCCGGCTTTGGGAGGGGCAAGATGTTCTGGCCAGATGGACCGATGGACTCCTTTACCTGGGAACTATCAAGAAGGTGAGATCTAAACCTTTGACCTCAACCTCAACCCCACTTTTCTCTTGCAACATTAACTTTAGCATTCCCTTTCCATCCTCTTGACTTAGATCAACTCTGTCCCTTTGTCATCAGCATTTACCCTCTTTTCCCTCTCCCAGGTGGATAGTGCTCGGGAGGTCTGTCTAGTCCAGTTTGAAGATGATTCCCAGTTTCTTGTTCTATGGAAGGACATTAGCCCTGGTGAGACTCGAGGAAGCTTGGTCCCTAAAAGGAAGCAGGGACTGGGGCACCAGAGGCTTGGCTGGGGCTAGAGCCTCAGAGCTCTTCCCTGTTGTTTCATAGCTGCCCTCCCTGGAGAAGAGCTCCTGTGCTGTGTCTGTCGATCTGAGTCTGTGGTCCCTGGGAACCGGCTGGTCAGCTGTGAGAAATGTCGACATGGTAAGGAATGACATTTGACCTCTCCTAGCCTGTTGGGGTACCACACCTCCACAGCCTATTTCTATGATTTCCTTTCCATAATTTCCCTTCTTTCCCCTTTTCCTCTCCCTATAATCCTGAATCTTTTCCCCCTAGTCATTCTTCCCAATACTTCACCCTCAACCCTCCATGATCCCTCTTCTCACCCCTCAGCATATCACCAGGATTGCCACATTCCAAGAGCCCCAGCCCCTGGAGAAGGAGATGGCCCATCCCCTTGGGTCTGCAGACAGTGTGTCTTTGCAATTGCCACTAAGGTACAGGGATCACTCCTCTTGGTGGTAGATACTACCGACCTCTCTCTATACATTTACCTCCCACCCAATCCCCAAGCTGTGACTATGTCCATGTGTCTGTCCCTGCAGAGGGGAGGTGCCCTGAAGAAGGGGCCTTACGCACGGGCAATGCTGGGGATGAAGTTGTCTCTGCCATATGGGCTGAAGGGGCTGGACTGGGATGCAGCACACCTGAGCAACCGGCAGCAGAGCTACTGTTACTGCGGGGGCCCTGGGGAGTGAGTCACCAAAAGGAGGGAAGGAATGGGGGGGGCATTCTGGAGGGGGCACGATGCTAGCGAGTCAAGGTGGGTGCTATCGAGAGATTTTAGGGAAGGGAACCCAGTTGTAGTAATGGAAGTGGTGGCAGGTGATAGGGTCATGGGCAGGCCTCACTTGGTACTGTCTCTCAGGTGGAATCTAAAGATGCTACAGTGTCGGAGTTGCCTCCAGTGGTTTCATGAGGCCTGCACTCAGTGTCTGAGCAAACCCCTGTTGTATGGGGACAGGTGAGCCTCAGGACACGGATGGGGGGTGGGGTTAGGCATGGGACACGTGGGCTGCAGGGCAGGGGTGGGGGAAAAGGAGGCTAATTCTTCAATGTGTTTGTCCATGATCCAGGCTTCATCTTCTCTTCCCCATCCCCCTTTCTCCCTCCCGTGTCTTTGTTACTCCTCTACTACTTTATCCACTGCTTATTTCCAGATTCTATGAGTTTGAGTGTTGTGTCTGCCGAGGGGGACCTGAAAGTGTCAAAAGACTTCAGCTTCGATGGTGAGCTAGGCCAGGGGAACTCTTTGAGACTCCTTGTCTATTGTCAACAAATTCTGTTGTTATGGCTCTTCTGGACCAGGCTCTGGCCTTAAGGCTGGGGATGGAAAGTCCCTGCCCTCAAGGAGCTCACAGTCGGATGGGGGGGGTAACTTACAGACAACAATGGATGAACTAGACGGAGGCAGGATACATTGGAGATAATCTCTGGGAAGACAGTGGCATTAAAGGTGCAGAGAGGGTGGCATTTATTCCTCACACCCACATAACTGTGGCCCTGTATTTCTCTAGGGTGGATGTTGCACATCTTGTCCTCTATCACCTCAGTGTTTGCTGTAAGAAGAAATATTTTGACTTTGACCGAGAGATCCTGCCATTCACTTCAGAGAACTGGGACAGCTTACTCCTGGGGGAGGTAGGGGGGAGGGGGTGCTCTTTGAGTGGGACAAGGGGAAAGAAATGCTGAGACAGGATTTCCTTGCAACTGTTAATCTGCTTTCTTCTCCCCCAGCTCTCAGACACCCCTAAAGGAGAGCGTTCCTCTCAACTTCTCTCTGCTCTAAACAGCCACAAGGACCGGTAAGTGATAGCGTGGAGTGGGGTAGTGCACTTCAGGGTCGACAGAAGAATGAAATAGAGGTATGGGGTATTAAGAGACTGAGGAGAACCTTAGCTGCAAATGGAGAAAAGTTGCATTTCTGGGAGAGGCAGTGAGGCAGGCCAGTGTGTCTTTTCTGTCTTACTGCTATTTTTCCTCCACCCCTAGGTTTATCTCTGGGAAAGAGATAAAGAAACGGAAATGTCTGTTTGGGCTCCATGCTCGGACTCCTCCCCCTGTGGAACCCCCCACTGGAGATGGAGCACACACCAGGTCACTGGCCCAGGGGGGTTGGGGAGCACTTTCTGGGATTTATCTGGGGAAAATGTACCTCTGGGGGTGTTCAGGAGGGGTCTGGGGGGGTAAGGAGGCCTCTTACAGCTTCCCTTCAGGGCAGGGCCCGGGGGTGGGGGTCTCACGCCCCCTGGGGAAGCGTCGGCGACTGGAGCCAGAACCTCGGAAGAAGAAATCACCAAAGGGGAAGGAAGAAGAGCTGGGGGAACCCCAGGAGGGGCGGGATCGGCCAGAGCCCAGGGAGCAGAGGGAGCAGGCACGTCTTCGGAGGGCGCTGCAGGTATATGGGATGTGGGACACTAGAAATGAGTTAGGGAAGAGGTAGAATATAATGGTGTGCTAGATTTGGATCAGGATTTGAACTTGGATTCAGGTCATGTTTCTGATAATTTGCCAAATGTGTGACCACGGGATTGTCACTTTCCTTCTCTGACCTTCAGTGTCCTTTTTTCTGTAAAATGAGGGTGACAGCAGTTGCAGTACCTCCACAGTAGGGTTACTATGAGGCTCAAATGAGACCATGAAAATTACTTTGAAAATGTTATGCCAAAATGTAGATGTCAGTTATCATTGTTAATAAAAGTTAATTGGTTGGGGCAGCTAGGTGTTGCAGTGGATAGAGCACCAGCCCTGGAGTCAGGAGGACCTGAGTTCAAATATGGCCTCAGACACATAACACTTACTAGCTGTGTGACCCTAGGCAAGTCACTTAACCCCAATGCCTAGGCAAAAAAAAAAGTTAATTGGTTATGAGGGTCTCAGTACCCTTTTAAGAGTACTTTTCTCCCCACCCCCTTTCCAGGCTTCAGTGTCTCCACCTCCCCCCAGCCCTAACCAGAGCTACCAGGGCAGCAGTGGCTACAATTTCCGGCCCACGGATGCCCGCTGCCTGCCCAGGTGAGTCTTCCCTCTTCCCCAATTTTAACTCTCTGGAACCTTACCCAAGCACACACCACTCCCATCAACCCCATAGATAGTAGTCCAGGGGAGATTATGAGCAGCTCTCTCACTTATCCATATTGGTTGGGAGGAGGGCAGTGTTTGGGCTTGTCTTCCCTTTGAATCTTTATTCTGCTATGGGGAGGTGGGTCCCACCCTACCCAAGTGACCCTACCCCACACAACTCCAGCAGCCCCATCCGGATGTTCGCCTCCTTCCACCCCTCGGCCAGCACTGCAGGAACCCCTGGGGATGGAGAACCCCCAGACAGGTGAGGACCCCCCCACCCTATGTGCTTGTAATTCCCCCTTCCCTCAAATTCTCTGGTGTCTTCCCCTTTCTCTTCCTATATACTTTAATCCCTGAATATCTACCTGTGATTCCAATATTGTTTTCCTCTGTAAAAAAAATTATTTTCTATGTTCCAAGTTGATAAATCTGCTTTTACTCTCTTTTTCCCCATAGGTCACCCCTGGACCTTCAAGTTGCTGGTTTCCCTTCAGATTCCCCAAGGAGCATTCCCCACTCAACATCATCTTCATCCCCAGGCCCCTCTCCTGTTCCCTCCCGAAGATCAGCTCCCCAGGGTCCTTCTCCTCTATGTCGTGGCTTATCTCCTGGAGCTGGTGTGGGAACCCGGGTAGGGGCTGGGTACCTGTCCCGAGGAGACCCTGTCCGTGTGCTGGCTCGGAGGGTTCGACCTGATGGCTCTGTGCAGTACCTTGTGGAGTGGGGTGGGGGAGGCATCTTCTAAAAGGAGGAGCTGATTGCTCTTCCTCTCCTTAGCCCTTATTCACATACATACAACAGGCACTTTCACACCCTGACTTCTGACCTCACCTGCAGCTGGGATGTACCTGGGGGGGGTGGTCTGGGGTGGGGGTCCTTCCCTACCACCCAGGCTGGAGTCAGGTGGGGAGAGGCCCCTTTCTTCCTCAACCACCCCTTCATGATTCCTGACCCTACAGCCTTTTTCCCATTTCCCGTGATATTTTGTTACAGCTTTTTTTATATTTTTAAAAGTTATTTAACCCCTTAGGGGAAGGGGAGGGGGATAGAATAGGGAATCCTGGGCTCTGTATGGTTGGAAATAAAGATAAATATAACCTTCAGAAACCTGAATCATCTTAATAAAGAGGAAAAATGGATGGAATGGGTTGGGGCTTACCAATGTACCCTCAATGAATACTCATAACAAATGATACATGTAATAAGGAAAAAGTCAAGAGGCAGCATTCCAGGGGTAGGGTTTATTAGAGAAAGTGAGAGAGAGTACAGAAGTTAGCTTGAGGTATCAGAGTAGGCTCAGAAGTCATCAAAATAGAGTCGTCATTGATGAGTGGTGCTATCTTTTACCCAGTGAAGGTATGGAAGGTTCCCCTGTTGCACAGGCAATGTAATGACTTCTACCACTTCATATGGGTGAACAGAACTAGAGGAAAGGAAAGGTCAACAAGTGTTGAGCAGTATTTCCTCATCCTCCTGAAAATGCATCCAGGACTCATCTCCCACTCCCACCAAAAAACTAATCCTGATGTCCTCACCGAATAAATTCTGTCAAGGATGGGGCCAAGGCAGTCTGAGTCTTCATCATCTGAAGGAGAGAGGACTAGATCAGGAAACTGGATAGGAAGAGCAGGAGCTAAAATAATATCAGGAAAGAGCTGGAAGGGGGAAGGTCTTACCATCATCACCTCACTGTCTTCCTCAATCTTTCCTTTCCATTCATAGCTGAAAGACACCAAAAGGATGAGTTACCGAGGAGAGGAGATACACACTCTCCCTAGGAAATATCTCCACACACTTTCCCATTACTTACATAGATGTAATGTGAGGTATTAGATTGACACAGGCAGCCAGTCGCTTCTCCACCACAGCCCTGGAAATAAACAGAGCTCAGTTCAGAGCTGATCCTCTTTGCTTCCAACACCCTCTACCCCAAAGACTCGAAAGGAAGCAGTAACTAAAGAGCCCCTCAACTTTCCTCCTCCTTCCCCCTAATGCTCCGACCCCTTCCGTCCTTCCTCCAACTCCCCCCCCCCAACCTGGCAATAGTCTTGGCGATCTTGTCATTGGGGCAGGTGACAAAGACGACTGAGACGGAACCAGCGACGTAGTCCGAGCCAGCGGGGGCGGGGGCCGAGGCTTCGGGAGGCCGTGTGGCCATGGAGAGGGCTCGAGGAAGCAGCCGTAGGTAGGGGTACGTGGAGAGCAGCGACTGCATGCACAGGAAGGCCAGGAACAATGCAGCCTGGGGGGGGGGGTGTCTCGATGAAAGGATGAGCCCCAGCTCCGGAGCCCCAGCCTAGCCTGAGGACCCCGGAACTTATGTCCACTCCAAGCCAAGGGACCTAGATGTGGGCAGCACCCTCTCCCTCCTCACCCCTCAGTTATCACGAATGCAGAACGAAGACCCTAGGCTAGGAAACTGAGGCACAAATTCTTGCCCAGAAGGAGAGGGTAGGGTAGAAGATCGATCTGGAGGTCGGGTAGGCAGGTTCAGTGATCTTCCGAAGGGGGTGGGGGTCGTCACTCACCACTCCGCCAAGCCAGACTTGGGGGCCCCGCCCCACCAACATGCAGCCTAGGTGGGCAAAGGTAGGGGGGCGGGGTCAAAGGTCACGTCACGGAACGGGAGAAAAATGTCCCAGAACCTGGCACAGAAAAACCAGAGAAAGCGTACCTGTATGGCGACCACGTGACAAGAAGGCCCGAGCCCTCACCACACCACGTGACAAAGGAAGCACCTCACTTACCGCCCCCCCAATCCCAGAGGTCCGGCGTTTTCGATTTACCCCCGCCCCCAAGAGAAGCTAGTCGATGGGAGGGAAGGGGAAGAACTAGCCAATTAGGAACCGAATCCATGGACACGTGCCATCCCCACCTCCGCCTCTGAATAACCGTTAAAAATCATTTGCCCAAAAATTAGACTCGTTGCAGTCTTCTCTCATCACGTGATGTAGGAGGCTGGAGGATGACGAGGACAGTCCTAGGGGAGGGGAAGGAAGGGCAGGGCGAGATGTTGTTCACAGCCAAAGTAGGACTTCCGCGCGAGATGGGAGCTGGCCAATCCTAATACAGTTCCTCATACCACATGACATGGGTTTGGGCGGAGCGACAGGGGCAGAAAACTCCTCCCAGTCACTGCGTCAGTGTTGGGTTGGTGAGTGTGGTATCAGCTTGAGTTTAAGTATGGAGTGGAACTTGCTGGTGATACTTCTCTTTTCCACTAACAATCAGCAAAACTGTCCATGGAGTGATAATATTAGGTCTGATGAAGTAAGGAGAAGCCGAATAGTAGTGAGCAGTTAGACCTTTGGTAAAGAGACGGTTGTAGCGTTCCATCTTGGGGGCTGTGTGACTTTGGCCTCATTTTCCTAACCTGTAAACTTGAAAAGGTTGAGCTCCTAAGTACTTTTGATTGTAACCCTAAGTGTGACCCAGGAGAAACTCAATTGGCTAGTGCTAGCGAGAGAATAGTTAAACAGATAGGGTGAAGTGAAGAAGTTCAGAGAGAATATGAGGGGGAAAGAAAGGAATGGGAAGGCTTTGGAAGCATTCCGAGCTCAGTGACATGGCACAAAGTGATGAGAAATGGGGCTCGTGCGGCCTTTCGCAGTACAGCCGGAATTTCAGAATTAGTTGAGGACTAGTATTTTAAAGTGCCTGTTATATGTTTGACGGTAGAAAGAGCAGTGGACTTGGACCCCAACGACTTGAGTTCTCAATCCTGCCTCTGTAATTTATTGTGACCTTGAACAAGTCAACCTCTTCCAGTCTTACTTTCCTTACTTATAAAAAGATAACACTTGTACAACCTACCTGACAGGGTTACTGTGAGAAAAACACTGTAACTCTTAAATATAAGCAGAGGTGCATAGATAGCACCTTGAGTCAGGAAGATGGTTCAAATTCTACCTGCCATTTACTGTATGAACTTGGGCAAATCACTTCTCTCAGTCTGTTTCTTCATCTGTAAGATGAGATATTGATAATGTCTGAGATACTGCAAATCTTAAATCACTATATAAATGCTGGCTATCATGATGGTGTGCATGAAACACAGAAGCAACATGATGTAGTGGATAGTGAAATTTGAACCTGGGTTCAAATATAGCTTCTGACACTAGCTGTGTGACCCTGTGCAAGTCACTTGCCCTCTCTGAGTGTCATAAAACTCATCCCTTAAGAGAATTTCTTCCTAAGGTTTCTTGGTATGGTGCAAACACTGGTAGCATCTATGTGGTTATAGGTACTGCTAGGCACAGAGAAGATAAAGATAATCTTCATGTTTACCGCTTTTAAGGATCTTACCTTCTAATAATGGATAAATATAATTCAGTTTCAAATAAATTAAAGTCAACAAAGACTAAGCACCAATTTTGATGCTGTAGGATGCTATGGATAGAAAGATGAAGAATCATACTCATGTACTCAGGAAGTTTAAATCTAGTAGGGGGGAATAAGATACACACAAAGAAATATGATACAAGGTAATGTGACAGAGACAGAGGAAGAATTATGATGATATAATATAAGAAAATGGAAATCATTGGCCTTGGAGTCAGAATGTCTAGCTTGGAATTAGAGCCCCTTCTTTTCAACATGGGACAGCTAGGTGACCCAGTGGATAGAGCACTGGGCCTGGAGCCAAAAGAACCAGGAAGACCCGAGTTAAAATCCATCCTCAGACACTTTCCAGGTGTGTGACCCTGGGCAAATCACTTAACCCCTATTTGCCTTATGGATCACTGCCTTGTCATGGTGGTGATAGTCAGCCCTAGCCGACAAAAAGTAACCCACTGGAGAAGGAAATGGCAAACAACACCAGAATCTTTGCCAAGAAAACCCCATGGACTGTCATGAGGTCACAAAGAGTTGGATATAACTGAACAACAAATTAGGCACGTGACCTTAAACAAGTCACTGGGCAAGGCCCGCCTCAATGTGCCTCAGTTTCCTTATCTGTAATCTCTGAGATTCTCTTTAACCCTGATATTTTATGAAGTTGGGAAGGCACAGAGGTGGTAGCATTCGAGCTAGACTACAACTTTGTGGACACTGGTAGAAAAGGGAAGAGAAGATATTGGAGAGATCATATATGAAGGAGACTTGAGTGATATGGTGGTTCAGCACATCCTCCAACCCTATCCTTTTTTTTTTGTAAGGCAATTGGGGTTAAGTGACTTGCCCAGGGTCACACAGCTAGTGAGTGTTATGTATCTGATCAGGGCTGGTGTTCAATCCACTGCGCACCATCTAGCTGCCCCCCAATCCTATCCTTCTTGAACTCCATCTACTCAGGCTACCCTCTCCTTACCCCGCCCTGCTCTGGGTCTCTCACCTACCCTACCCCCTGTGGATCCAGGGACTGCCCTACATTCTTTCCCTAGGGCCCAGGCACATCTCATGACCCAAAAATGGAGAGAGGGGGCCAGGTTAGATGAGAGGTGGAGGAGGCAGCAGAGAAAAAAGCTTCCTATCCCCAAATGATGGGGTCTGTAATATATTGCTAAGTCTCAAGTCTTTTTCTCTAAAAACTTTCTTTGGGTCTGGGGTCTCTCTTGGGTTAGGCATCTCATTTGAGTTAATAAGGTCTCTCTTGGTTGGGAGGGATCTGTGTCAGGGGAACCCATCTCACCCTGAATCTAGAATCTGTTGAGCCTAGAATGTCTGTCTCTGAAATTTCTCTTTGCATCTGAGGGGCTTGGTCTCTTAGATCTCTCACAGTCAGATCTCCTCCTAGGTCCTGAGTCTCAGTTTAAGAGATCTCTGAAATCTCTGGGTCTGATGTCTCTTAGATCTCTTCCACTGGGTCTGAGATCTTTCCTTCTTAGTTCTGCCTCTGGGTCTGGGGTCTTTCCATCTTAGATATCTACAGATCTGGATTCTCTTACCTATCTTTCTCCAGGTTTTTCTTAACCTATCTTTCACTGGGTCTGGGGTCTCTTTGTGTGACATGCCCCTCTCTGGGTCTGGGGTCTCTTTATTTGGCATCTCCATTTCTGAGTCAGGGGTCCCTGTCTTTGATTCTGTCTGGGTAGGGGTGGGGGCTGCAATGCATCTCCTCCTCCTCCTGCTCTCTCTTCTCTGTTCCCCCGCCCCCCTCTCTCTCTCTGCTGCTGCCGCTGCTGTTGGCTCCTTTTCTCCTCCTCCTCCTCCTCTCTCCTCCTCTCTGCTCCTCTCTGCTCCTCTCTCCTCCTCTCTCCTCCTCCTCCTTCTCCCCCTCTCTCTCTCTCTCCCCCTCTCTCTCTCTTCTCTTTCTCCCCTGTCCCCCCCCCGCCCCCTCCCCCCCAGGCCTGATGAGCAGGTCTCGAGCCTCCATCCATCGGGGGAGCATCCCTGCGATGTCCTATGCCCCCTTCAGAGGTACGAGGTGGGGGAAGGGGGAAAAGATCAGGAGGGGGAGGGGAAGGGGGAGGGGCAGGGGGCGGAGGAGAGAGGAGGCCCGGGTGAGGGGGAACGAAGGGGAGAGAGGGTGAAAGAAGAGGAGAGGCCGGAGAGCCTGGCGTGGGGGGGAATAGGGAAAGGGGGTGTAAATGGAGGCTGGAGCAATGAGGGGATTAGGGGGATAAAAGAAGCAGGCCTTGGAAGAATATTGAGAAGAAATAAGATGAAGGGATGAAGAAGTAGAGGAGACACATAAGGGAAGGGTATAAGGCAGAACAGATACAGGAATATGGGGGTATTAAGAAAGGGGAGGGACATGGAGATGGAGAGGGAAGAGAAAAGGGGGGGAAATAGAAAGGTAGAGATGAGGAAAAAGGAGAGGACAGTATGATGACGGGGTAGAGGGATGAAGATGGAAAAGAGGGGTGAGAGAACCAGGTAGATGGAGAAAGGGCTGGAGGATGGAGGGAGAGAAGAAGAGGCCAGATGGAGGAGGGGGAGGGGGGAAAGGGAGTGATGGAGGGGCCAGATGGAGGGAGGAAAGAGTGGGGAGGGAAGGTGGGCTGGGGGAGGGGGAAGACCAGGGCAGAGGGAGGGCCAGATGGGGGGGAGGGAGCAAGCAAATCTAGGAGGTGGGGAACTGGGCCTCCCCCTCCTCCCCAAGTCCCTAACCAATGAGACAGAACTGGAGTCCTACCTTATTTCCATTTCACCACCAACATCCCTCCTCCCTTCACTTCTCTATATTCAGTCCCTGTCCCACCCTTAGTGTCCATCACTTATGTCTGTCCTCCCCACCTCATATGGTGTACATCCCTTATATTAGTCCCCTTTTATGTCCATCCCCTATATCTGTCCCCTCTGCTGGTGTCCGTTCCTTATATCCCCTCCTCCACCTGGTGTCTCCCTTATATCTGTCCCATCCTCTTAATCCCCTCCTGTTATCCCCCTCTTTTTTCCCTTGACTGCCTTCCCTTATCATGCTTATCTATTTCTCTGGTCCATATCCAATTATCATCTCATGGTATTTCTTTTCCCAGAGGGTACTTACTATCTCTCTCTTCCTAAGTCTGTCTTACATCCCCTCAGTCCATAACATGTTCCCTTCCTTCCCCCAGTATTCTACTGCAAGGTTTAGCTATGCCTTACCTCCTCTCACCTCTAATGGCCCATTCCTTATCTCATTCCACTTTCCTCTCTTCCTGATTCCTTAGGTTATTTTGTAAATTTAGGGGTGGGGTGGGACAAGGAGATGGGATTAAGGGCACAGGCATCCTATATAAGCACTCAAAGAGATTACCTCACTGTAGACCCTTCCCCTTATCCATGGACCACTCATTTCACCCCCACCACCCCCACCTCCCCACATATACACACATTTGCTTCAACTAGTTTTGTCGTGCCCCTACTTATTTTCAAGCCTAGACACATGGCCAGGGACTATGGGGAAGGGGAGGAGAGAGAGATGATGGGAGAGAAATAGGAATCCCTATTAGGCAGACTAGTTTACATGCTTTTCCCTCACTTCTCCCAAGAGGAAGTATTTCTTGAGGTCTAACTTTACTCCCTTTGCTGCAGTTAGCCCCTCCTTCAGTGGAATGTAAGGTTTTTTTCACCTGGAGTCCTGATGCTTACAGGGGAACTAGGATTTGTACTGTCTGGAGTATTAACATGTTTTTGGTATGAGTGTCTGAATTTTTCATGTCTGGAAAATGTTAGGGTATTAGTAGATGAGAGTGGCTAGTATTAGGGTATTCAACAGTTCAGTGTGTCTGTAGTTGGAGAGTGTTTACCTCTGACTCTGAGTCATCCCTTGTTTCCTACTTGCCCACCCCATAATCCAGAGAAGTCAGCCTAAAAGGCTAGAGGATAGGGGAAACATTTTTGAGTGTGTGAATAAGAGGCCATGAAGGAAATTAGATTTTGGAAAGATCACCAGGCAAAATGCCCTATATCACATGGAGTCTAAAACTTGCTTCTTTTCACTCCAATGTACCTGCAGCTTTATTTCCCCATGGAGGCTCCAAAACTTGTTTTTCTTCCTCTAACACCTTCAGAGCTTCATTTTTCCCCCCACTCAGATGCCCCTAATCTGATTTCTCTCAGTCTGACCACTGTAGCCTCATTTTTTTTTCACTGATACCTGCAGATTGATTTCTCTGATATATCCCCAAAGTCTCATTAACCTGTTTTGGGACAATACCTGCAATACAAACTTCACAGGGTTGTTTCAAGGTTCAAATGAGATAATTTAAAGTGCTTTGTAAATCTTATAGCAATATGTAAATGTTAGTTGATTTTATTATTACTACTACTGCCAAGGGTAACCCCCTTGCCATGTTTTGTTGGGGATGGGTTGCACTTGAGGGGCAGTGAACCTAGGAGAATGGGACAAGGGAGCCATCTCAGGGCATTAGGTGGAGGTACTCAGATTCTTGTATTTTCCCTACAGATGTCCTACCCCCAGATCCACAGATCCCCACCTTCTTTCATGAGATATGTATCCCTGTTACCTTTCCTTCCCTTTTCCATTACTCCACACTGTGTCCTGGGGAGTATTTTGTGCTAGAGGCTTGCTTCTCCAATCATTTGGGAGGGAAGAACTACCGATGTTGACAGGAGCAGTTCCCTGGGTTCATGTTGCTGTCTTTTAAGGGGTGGTGCTAAGAGGCCAATTTGATCTCTCCTCCTTCCCTAAACAAGGACCTGAACTCCTGGGCCAGTTGCTGATAAGAGCTTCCCCCTCCTCCCTTCCACTCCCCAAGGAAACAAAACTGTCCCTAGGGACCTGGGAAGGCTAAGGAGGCCATGGAAGGAATGGCTTCCATCTCTCCTGAGACTTACAGGTATCTCCCTCCTTCCTTTTCCAGAAATTTGGTTTTCACAACCCAGTTGTTTGGGACACCTTCACTCTTCCCAAATGTGCACCCTTCCCCCACCCCATGTCACTGTACTTCCCAGATGTTTCACCATCTCTGCTCTCCCCAGATATATTTGTTAATTCTATATTCATTCCAAATGTGCAATCCCTTCTTTCACTTGTTATCCCCAGCACTTAGCACATTGCTTTGCATATAGCAACCACTTAATATTTTTTCATTCATTCAAATGGGCCTGTGTTTCCCTCGATCCCTCTCTCTGCCCACCCTAGACTACCTTCTCTGTTTTTTTCCCCTCAGATGTATAGTTGCCCTTTTCAAATACTGGCACTCTTTGTATAGCCCTTCTCCCACTAAATTATTATGTCCCATATTCACCTAGATGTGTAGAATCTCTTTCACCCTCCTGTTTTCCCAGATGTTCAGGCTCACCTTGTGTTCCTCCAGATTTTTCAGATGTCCCATCTTCTCTGTCCCTCAAAATGTACTGTAGTCTCCTTATCAATTCTGTCCCTCTCCATATCTGTCTACAATGCTATTATTCTCTAAATGTGTAAACTTCCCCTTATTCCACACTGGTCTCCCAGATGTGGGGGATCCCTTAACACTTCTCTTTATCTGTTTCTCAGATGTACGGGGACCCCCTATGCACCGAACCCAGTACGTTCATTCCCCATATGAACGTCCTGGTTGGAACCCCCGATTCTGCATCATCTCGGGGAATCAACTGCTCATGCTGGATGAAGAGGAGGTGAGAGGAAGGAAGGGAGCTTGCATAGAGGACCTTTCTTTAGATGGGAGGGGAACAGAGAGTTGGGAAAGAGAGTATATTAATTAAGAGGGGAAAGACAATAAGTAAGGTGTAGAACAGAGAAAGGGGAGACAAATGAAGATGGGGGAAAGATAGAAGGGATGAAGCATGAGACAGGAGAGAGGCAAGACAGATATTCAACCTGCACAGTGTTTGTCTCTATGTTTTGCTCACTGTTGGGAGGAGACTCCTCTGTAGAGGTGAACCTTCATTATCTCATCTCTTCACCATCATGGAGCAGATAACATGCTAGGTAGAATAGGGAAGAAGTGCTAGGGTAAAATGGGGAAGGACTGGTGAGCTGGAGTGAGGGATTGAGGTGTCTGACTGGATGGAGGAAGGTTAGAGTAATGAGTAGAATAATGGAGGTGGCTGGAATTCTGGTTGGCTGGGTATTAAGGATGGACATTAGCAGAAAGGGGAAGTTGAGAGAACAATGGTAGAGTAGATCAGGGTGAATGCAAAGAAAGAACTTTATGGATTTAGGGCATTAAGGGGGAACCAGGGGAGGAATAGAAGAACAAAGTAGAATAGTAGGATTGTGAGGGCTAGATAAGTCAGGGATCTGAGGAATTACGGGTGGCTATGGAACAAAGAGTAAGGAAAATGGTGACCTAATGATTAAGGGGACTGGGAATAAGGGGTAGAGACTAGACTGTGAGACCAGAGAGGTAAAGGTGAAGATAAAAATAACAGAAAGAGAGTTGGGAGTGACCAGATATTTAGGGATGATTTGGAAGCCCAAAGAGTGGGGAGAGGTGACTTGGGAACCAGAGGGGTGAATGTACAAATAGTTTGGGGGAGTGAAGTATGACTGTGGGACAAATATGGAGTACAGAATAGTAAGAGGGTGGTGTTCTGATGATTCAGGTGAATGAAGAGGAGCAAAGGAATAGAGAGAGTAGAAGGGTCTGAAGGACCAGGTAAATAGAATGCCACAGTGAATTAGGTAGCCAGAGAAGGCAGAGGTAGTTGGGAGAGTTACTGAAGTAAAGTAGACTCAAAAACTGGGAGAGGTGGATATAAGAGGATGAAGAAGCTGCTAGGGGAACCCAGGGGAGTAGAGGGAAACTTAGAGGCCAGGGACTTGACTCAAGAAGAAATGAGAGGTAAGGAGAAGAATAGGATGATTCGGAAGCTGAAGGGTTGAAGAGTGAGTCATGTGGAGTAACTGATAGCTATCAGGGGTGAAAGCTGAAGAGAAAGAACTGGGGCCATTAGCAGTGGTGGGAAAGGCTGGGTCCCTGATTCAGTGAGGGAGAGAAGGAAGTCCAATGAGAAGTGACCAGATGTAGTTGGAAAGTGGTGATGGTGGAATAGTAGAAAGGATAATGGGAGGATTAATAGAGGAGGAATGCCAGGAGAGATATCAAAGGATGCCCATGAAGCTCAGGGGCTGCCTAGGATGACCCAAAAGAGGGTTGATGAGGATTAGGGGAACTGGGGGTGAGGGTTAGTGGATTGAGGAACTGTGTGCACAGTGACCAGGAAGCCTCTAAAAAATTGGGAGATAGCTGGGAAGTGACACTGGCCTCTAGTGGTGGAGAGGAGAGATGATTAGGAAAGGGGGTTTTGAGGAGGAATATAATGGAGATAAGGGACCAAGGCTTGGGGTAGTCAGAATGAATGAAAGTGTTAGGGAGAAGTGAGAGAGAGATGATGGAGGACATCTAGGGAGAAGTCTGGGAATAATAAGACATGATGGAGTCTGGGGAAAGAGGTTAGAAGGTGTTAGAGGGGAACCAGGTGGGTAGTAAGAGAACTGGGGAGAGGTGACCAGGGCTTTTGGGGAAAGGGAGGGTTGGGTCCCAGTCTGGCCGAGTGCCTGGCTGTAGGAGGGAAACAAGCTGTGATCCTGATTATAAATGCAGCTTCTGCTACCCCCGTGACAGGCAGTAAAAGGGGCTGGGGGTGGGGACTTTAGAGGATGAGACAAATTGAAGGTCAAGGGGAAACTGGACTAGGTGAACATAAAATCCTAGATAAATTGGAAGAAGGACTGAGAAAGGCTTAAGAGAAACCTTTAGGGTGTATTGAAAAAAATGAAGGAGATGGGTAGCAGTGAAGGGGTGGGTGTGAGAAATAAAGGATAGGAAAGGAATATATCCATCCACAGACATACCATAGGGTATGGCAAAGAGGAGGGGATATGAGAGGGAGACTCGGTCTATCATTTTGAACATTTTTTATAAATGTTAATAGTTTTCCTGGTGGGGGAAGGGGAGTGTGGGCCACTGAGATCTGATCATATCCCCCATCCCATAGATACATCCCCTTCTGATCCGGGACCGGAGGAGTGAGTCCAGTCGAAACAAACTACTGAGACGAACAGTCTCTGTGCCTGTGGAGGGCCGGCCCCATGGCGAACATGGTACGGGGCTTTGGAAGAGAAAGCTCTCATGCCCCTGAGAGAGGGAACTGTGTGAGAGAAGGCTAAAGGGTGGATCTGGGTGTGTGGATGAGTGGGAGGGTGGCCTGAGGAAGATGTTCTCAGACCTGGGGAGAGGGCCATGGGAAAGAAGGCTCTTACACTTCAAAGGGCTTCAAAGAAGGTACCTGTATTCTTGATTTGGGGTAGGGTGGACGATAAAAGGCCCATGTCTTGGCTCCACCTTCCCTTTTCCACCCTAACTGTGAGATTTGCCTGGTTTCCGGGTGCTTATAAAAATAGTCTCCCCAGATCTTATGCTTCCTGTCCTGAAAATCCTTTCCTCTCCCCACCTCCCCTTGGTTCTGGTCATCAATGCTCCCCTACTGACAATGACCTAGTTCCTTCATTATTCCTTTTATCCACATTCTCTTTGCTTCCCTCCCAGCCCTCTGGCCCTATCCTCCCTTCCCCCTTCTTCAAACTGGCCACTGGGGTGCACTGGCCACTGGTTTGTGGATTAATCAACCTATTCTCTCTTTTCTCTCACTTCTTTTTACACTTTTCTTCTTTTCTTCCAATATCCTCTTCCTGATTCTTCCTCCCTTCCCCTCTTCCCCCCACATTTGTCTCCCTTATTTCCTCTCTCATCTTGCCCTCCATCAGGTCTCCTCAACTCATCACCCTTCTGTCTCTGTAACCGTGCCTCTGAATGACTGTCGCTCTGTACCTCTGCCTCTATCTCGGTTTCTCCAACTCTCTCCTTCTTTCCATCTGTCTCTTTCCCTCTCTCTCCCCCCTCTCTTCCCCCCTCCACCCCCCTCTTTAGTCATTTAAAAAAAGATTTTTGTCTTCCTGAGAAGTTCGCTTAAAAGGTTTCCATGGGAACGGTGAGGGGAGATGAAGGCAGAGAACATAGATCCTGCCGCCAAGGTGCAGAGAGACGCCCTCAGCCCCCGGAAACCACCCCCCACCTCCATTAACTGCCCCTCCACCCCCACCTCCATCACTACCCCCTCTACCTCTTTCCATTTCTAGGACCCAGGCATTTAATATCCAGCTATGTGGCCATCCTTTTTTTTCCCCTCACAATTCCCACTCCGAGGATCCATGCGTCCTAGACCCTTACATTTAAAAAAACCCACATGTCCACCCTTTAGCCTTTCTGCTTATCCTATCCCCTCCTCTCATGGACTCAGCCCTTGAGACCCTAACCATGCTGTTTGGATCTATCTACATGCCTGCAAAGCTTCTGCCCATGAAGGATCTAGGGTGTGTGGGCAGCAATCTGTGTATGGCATATCCCCTGTATGTATGTCTCTTAAGTATGTGATGTGTTTGCCGTAGATGTGTGTAGCATGTCTATGTAAATTCTGCCCTGTGTGCATAGTGTGTCCAAGATGTCCACACACAAAGCATATGCATGTATGTATGAACCCTACATCCATCATCCACTGTAAAGTATAATGCCCTTATCCCCTACCCTTGTCCATCTGCTCCCCACTTACTCCACCCCTCCTCAATCCTCCTTCACCCAATCCTCTCCTTACCCTGTGTCCTCAGGGCCTGGGAGTCTCTGATCTTGGTCTTTCTGGCAGGTGTCTGTGGAGGTCGGTGTACATCCATAAAAGGTGTATGTGTGTGTATTGTGAGATTTGTGGGGGAAGGGCTGTGCTGGAGGCTGTCCTCATATATGGGTCTGTGGGTGCAGATGTGTCCACCCGTCAGGGGAAGGTCTTTCTGTGGGGGACAGGGCAGGGGAAAGGTTGAGGGCCATCAACTGAGGGGTGTTTGCTTTCTAAAAGGGAAGGTCCATGTGGGGTATCCACTCAAAGGTGTGTGTGTACGGGGGGTCCCGTGGATAAGTGGGTGTCTATCCAAGCAGACATAAGAATATACTTGGGGAAAGGTGTCTGAGTGAGGGGAAGTCCATGGGGGGCTGTGCGTGTGAAGGAGTGTCCACCCACGAGTGTGGTGGAGGGAAGCCATGGTGGGAGAAATTCCTAGGACCTTTGAGGGCGTGGAGGTTAATGTTTGGGGACTCCACCTCCTTGGGGCGGAGCTGTGGCCCCACGTTTTTCTCGGTGGTTGGGGGGGTCCTTACGGTGGGGGGGAAGGTGTGGGGGTCCCTAGTTCGTTTTGGGGGTCCCCCCTCCCCCTAACTCTCTCGCGCCGTCTCCGGGCGACGGGGCTCGTGACAGAGGCGGCCACGGCAGCAGCGGTCGCCTAGCAACGGCGGCGGGGCCCGGGCAACGGCGGCAGCGGCGGGAGCGGCGGCGGTTGGAACCGTTACCCGCGGCTGTCCCCGCGGCGGCCGTTCCCCCCAGCGGCCCTTTCCGGCGCCCCCGCCCCCATCCCGGGCCGTGAGAGCCGAGCGGAGCCGAGTGGAGCCGAGCCTGGCCAGACCGCCCCCTTGCCCTCCGTGCCCCTCACCCCCGCCCCACCTTGGGGCGGGGGGGCCCCTCCCCCCCTCCAGGGACCCCCCCCATTCCTTCTTCCTCTTCTTCCTCTTCCTCCTCCCCTACTGACCCCCCGCGGGGGGGGCGGTGCGAGGTAAGGGCGGGGCTGGGGCGTGCGGGCGGGGCGGGGGCGCGTGGCGTTTGAGAGAAGCGGCGTGCGGGGGGAGGGGCACGCGGGGGCGCGCGTGTGCGTGGGCGCGCGGGGGGAGGGGGAGGCCGGGAGGCCGCTCGGCGGCGGCGGTGGCGGCGGCGGCGGCTGCTCCCTCCGCATGTTCTCGCTGCATCTTCCGAGTGGGGGGAGTTATGGTAACAGGGGTGGGGGGTGAGTGCTGGGCTTTTTCGGTGGGGGGGACTTGGGGTCGGATTACTTGGCACTTGTGGGGGGCAGAGTCAGCTCTAGTGGGGGACTGGTTGGAGGTCCTGACACCCCAGGGTGGAGGGGATAGTGTGCCCGTTGCCTCGCTGTGTGTTTCTGTTTTTTCCACCCGTGTGTTCATGCCTGTGTGTACTCATGTCTCTTTCTTTTATGTATATACCCTTGTGTGTGCAAGCATGTCCACTGTGCAAGAGATGTCACCATCTTCTTCAGAGTCTGCCTGTGTGCAGTGCATATCTATTGGGTCTGGTGACCCTGGCCTGATGATTATGTATGCCTCTCCAGGCCCAGCTGCCTTGTCACCTCTGACCCTGTGTGCACATGTATCCCTGTGTTTGCCTCCAGTGTGTGTCCCACGTCAAGGCTTATCAGTATGCCTGCTGGCATGTATATGCATGAGCCAGTGTTGGCCTGGGTCTCTGTGGCAATACTGCCACAGTTGTCCAGGGTGTGCCTGGATGTAGGCAAGTGTGTTCAGAGGGTGATGAAGGTGGGAGGAGTGGGTTAAGTGTGCAAGCATGTTGCCTAAGACCCTTTTTTATACATGCACCATCTTGGGCCCAAGGCAATATATGTAGTAGGCAAGATCTTGCCCTTTCCCCGGCCTAGGAAATGGAGAAGCAAGTTGAGGAGGGCAGGAGAAAATCTGGACAGGAAGGAGGAAGAGGAAAAGCTTGGGGAGAAAATCAAGGAAAGAAGAAAGAAAGGTGGGAAGAGAGGTGAGAGTGGAGGAAAGAGAACTAGAAAGGAAGAAGACAGAGAAAAGTGGAGGATGGGAAAGAGGAGGAAGACGAGTCAAAGAAAGGAGAAGCATGGTGATGGGGGAGGATGGGTTCGAACTAGAGCTAGAAGAAGAAAAGAGAAAGCCTGAGATATGAGACTAAATTTTGGCGATAAGGGATGAAGGGACTAAAGGAGGAAAGATAAAGAGTGATGAGAAGAAAGGAAAGAGAAAGAAAAAAGAGCCAGGGCATTCTTAGGGGAAAGAGGTCTATGAAGGAGGTGAGGAAGAAAAATGGCAATTTGTCTGCTGTTGGGTTATGGGAAGCAGTGGGGAGTACTGGATTAGTGTAGGCCTTCCAGGAATGGGATCTGTATTAGTGTGGGTCCTGTCATAACAGTGACTGTCAGTATAGGTCTGTCAGCTCCTCCCTTTCCTGTCCCCAGCACAGATCTTGTCCCCAATAACCCTATTCCTCCTGTCTCCGCACCAAAGTCCCACCACTGCTGGTAGACTAGTAGTATGAACTGTATATTGTTCATCCTGTCCTGGCCCCTTTTCCATCTCTTCCACAAGCAAGTTGACCAGAGTAGCTTATTGGCAAAGAGATGCCTGAGAGAAAGGAAGAAGGAAGGTTAAGGACTTTGGAATTGGAGGACTGGAAGGGGGGAAGAACTTTTGAGGTAATGACAAGATTAAAGAGGCTGGTAGGGTGGTAGCCCAGGTGCTTGCTTTATGTATATTAGTTGCAGTTGTGTGTACATGGGGTGTCTACATGTGTGGGTGTCTGCACAATTCCTGTGTTATGAGTCTCTGTGGGTGATGTGTGTGTATGTGTACATTGTGTGTAGGGATGAGATGTGGAGACATGGAATTATGTATGCTTATAAGCGGGTTTGTTCTGCACGTATGCATATGTATGTACTGGGTTTTTTCGCTTGGCATCTGTGTTCTTCACTCTGTGTTTCTGTCCCATCTTCCCCATGCCTACTTGTGTCTTTTTCTGGGTACCTGTTTATAACTACATGTGTCTTTTCTGTGTACCTGTGACCAGTATTTGAGTTCACAGATATGTGTTTCTGGCAATCCAATATTACTTTCTAATGCCTAGTGAAATATTAGCAAATTAATGTATTCTTCTGATTATCCTTAATTTCCAAAAACTATATATTAATTTGTTTAAAGTTAAACTTTATGTTTTGATTAGAAATGTTTCAGATAAAAGTATTGGCTGAGCTGATTTTAGAATACTAATGACCTAGATAGTCTAACATTTGTGGAATATGATCCATTCTTTTAGTAATGATTATTGGACCTTTAATCAACTTAACACCTGTTAAGTTTAAAAACAAAGTTTAATTGAAGCATAAACAGAAGAGTAATAAATTTGCTAATTGTTCTTGACCCTACTAGAACAGTAAATATAAATTAAGAGATAGGAAGAAACAAAAGGGACCAGTGTAGTATCAGCAGTGTAAATGGAGCATGTGTACATTCTGTTTGTGGGGATGTGTTGGAGGTTACAGTATATCTGCATGCCACATATTTGCATGGGGTTAAATATGTCTTCGCATAGTGTGCTTACATTTGTAGCTAAAGAGTTAAATATGTATTCCTCATGTTATAGCATTCACACAGTTAAGCACATATTCCCACATTAGCACTTCGCATGTGGGTGTCTGAGTCTAAGCATGTTGTGTATGGTCACCTGTGTTTTTGGGTCTAAGCATGTCCTCAGGGCTGTCTGTTGGTCTGATAAACATATATATATATATATAAAATATATATATATAAATATAAATATATATAAAAATACAACACACACACACACATATATTCTCACATATTTTCCATGTTCTCCCCACACATGTGCCTGTATAGCTAACTGTGTCCCCATGATATACACATATGTTCCCAAAGGACCAAGTGTATGTTCCCCTGTCATGGTGTTAATATGTCAGTGCAGGACTCTTGCACTGGTATTTTAGAGGTGCGTGGAAGCTATATATCCCAGTATGGGCCAGTTCTCAATCACAAAGGCAGATCTTTGTAAAAAGATAGAGATGGCCTTTTGGGCTCCCCTCTCCCTGTTCTGGAATACACAGAGTTAACAAGCGGCTCTTCCTGTCCCCCCCTTCCAGCCTGTAGCTTCTTGTTACCGTGGTGATGGTGGCCCCGCCCCTGATGCAGCACCTGCCCCCCCATTGGCTGCAGTGGTGACTGTGGGGCTGGGTGGGGGGGAGCCCGGGCCTGGGCAGCCATTCTGGAGCTGGAGCCGGAGCTTTAGCATCCCCCTTTAAACCCCTCAGAATTCCTTCACCCCCACCCCAGCCCCTCCAAATTCCCTGGGATTCATTAGCTTCAACATCCATCCCCCCAAACCATCCTTCAATAACCTCCTAGGGGTCAGAATCTTATCGGCATTCAACCTGCCTCCTCTGCCCTTCCCCCTACTTGGGAGCCCCAATATTCGCCCAACCAACCTCAGTTTCTTCTCCCCTTCCTCTTTGTCCATCTTTTTTCCCTACCCGCGCCCTCCCCCCCTCCCCCACTGTCCTGGCTACTGCAATAGAGGTAGAATCAGTCTCTTCTACCCACTACCCATTCCATTCCCAACCATTTCTTCCTTTTCTTAGGATTCTTCCATCTCTATACTTCCTCCTCTAGCCCACATACCCTCAACTAGATCCCCAACAACCTGGTGACAGATTCCCCCCACCCCTTCCCAGGCCAAGGAGGGGGGAAATGGGGAGCAGTCCTGGCACTCTGAACAAGCAAGGCCCCCAGGCAGGAGGAGCAGGTTGATGATGTCCCCAGCTGGAGGGGGACAAGCTGCCTAGGGGGACTGACATGTGACCTACCTCCTCTCCAGCTATGTCCCCTGAAGGTGTAGGAGGGAGGGTACCGGAGAGACAGCCTCCCTAATCAGCAAATATATTTCACTACCTAGGGTCTCTCTGGCCCCACTAGCTATGTCCCCCTACTGACTGCCAGCCAAAATGATGGGCATAGGGCCTCCCACCCCTTCCTTGTCTGGGGGCTCCGGCTCTAGCTCCTTACCCCCACCTTCTCGCTGCCATCACCGCTGCTCTTCCTGCTGCTTTCCGGGGGGTAGGTGAGGCTGGGGTGGAGGAAGGGGAAAGGGAGGATTTAGGGGCAAGGGTACAGACCTGGGTTGACATCTCTTCCCCTTCCTATCTCCTCCCCCCCCCAACTCCTACCTCCCCTTCAGAATACCACCTGGGCCGCTCCAGGAGGAAGAGTGTCCCTGGAGGGAAGCAATACAGCATGGAGGCCGCCCCCGCAGCCCCTTTCCGGCCCTCGGTGAGTGAGTGACTGCACCCTTGCCAGATGTGGTCCCAGCTAGGCTCTCCCTCCCCCTCAGTCTCAGCTGGTATCTGTGGTTTCTGGGAAAGGGGGCAGGGAGGAGTGTGTGTCTGTCTGTCTGTCTTGTGTCCCCACCTCCTCCACATCCCTTCTTTTCAGCTCTGTCCCGGGCTTCTTTGACCAGCCTTCCTATCTTCTCTTGGCTGGTATGTTTGTATAGGAACTGTGAGCAGGCATGATATTTTTCTCCCTCTAAGGTTTCCCTTGGCTCCCACCCATTCATTCCCAAGGTATCTCTCCCTGGTTGTTGAGGTGGGTGGGCACTGCTGACCTTGCCTTTCTCACCCCCCCCTTCAATCCCAATCTCTGCATCCCCCACCCCACCCCCAGCAAGGCTTCCTGAGCCGGAGGCTGAAAAGCTCCATCAAACGCACAAAGTCGCAGCCCAAACTTGACCGGACTAGCAGCTTCCGACAGATCCTGCCTCGATTCCGCAGCGCTGACCATGACCGGTACAGTAGCTAGGGTTCAGGCTAGAGGGACATGATATTGTGGGAGGGGGGCAGATTGTGGAGGCAGATGGTTGAGGAAAAACAGGCTCAGTTATGGGGGAGGATTACTATGGCTCAGAAGGAATGGAGGAAATATTAAAGGTATACATATAGATATTTATACATAGCAAAAGTGGGGTGCTGAATTACATAGACAGATAGTGATCTGGGTGATGGTGGGGGTAGTATATATTGGCAGATGGAAAGATGGTGGTGAATCCAGGTTGTATATACAGGTTTCAGGAGGACTGAGGTCAAGCTAAACAGATTATACAGGCTGATAGAAGGAGTGTTTGAAACAGGGGACTGGATGAGATGGGCTGGGGTATTGGTAATATACAGGTGGATAAAATGGGAGGGAGAGAGGCAGTGAGTTAGTGGGGAATATACTTGGAGACAGAAAAGAATGAAGCTGGGATAGGAAAGTCACAGGAAGAGCTAGACAGGGTGAAGCCAGTGGATATGATTTTGTAGGCTGGTCTTTTTTTTTTGTCCGGGGTGGGGTTGGGGGGGAGCAATGGTTAGGTTGAAGGGATAAGGCTGAGATGAGGTGAAAAATACAGGTTAACAAGGAAGGGGTTGAAACTAGGAAGAAATACATACATGGACTGGGCTACCTTTAATAAAGTAGGGGGGAGGGGATAATTTACCAGTGTCTGTTTCCCTTTCTTGGAGTCTCTCTTCCCACCTTGCTTCCTTCCCCTACCCCTCCTACCCCTTAGGGAGAACCCAATCCTACCCTTCCCCCATGTCTAGCCACCCCCAGGGTTGGGCAGGTAGAGTTATTGGGATAAGGTGAGTCATACTCCCCCCTCCCCTTTCAGGCTGAAAAAGCTGGATTTAGGGCCAGTGGGGGGGGGGTGGCGATGAGGGCATGGTATTCCTGGCCGCGGGGGCGGGGGGCCGGGGGAGCGTGGTGCTGACGGCAGCCAGAGCCCGAGATGACGGGGCTGCTATAAATAGTCTCAAGGAGGCTCCCACACCCGAGTTCCCCCCTCCTTCTCTAAGACTCTCCACTCCTTCCCCTTCCATCACTAGTCTCCATGCTCTAGTATTCAAGGCTTTTTATTATTTCCCATTAATATGGGGAACATGGGACAGGAATCTGCCCCTTCTTTCCATTTCTCTCTTCTCTTCTCCCATCTCCTATCTCCTCTCCATAATTCGGTCTTCCTTCTATACCTCTACCTCTCTTTTCAAATTCATCTCTCCTGTACTTTTTCTTTCTTCTTTCTTCCTATTCCTCATTTTTGTTACCTACCTCTCTGTTTCTTTTTTCTATTCCCTTCATTTTATCTGCCCATCTTTCCTCTTTTCATCCTTTTTTCCCATCCTTTCTCTCCCCTATTTTTCCTTTTCCATATTAATTTTCACCCAAGAAAGGAACCCCTAGGTTCTTCCTTACTCTTTTTATGTTGACTTGCCAGTCTTCTTTCTCTATTACCTATATGTTCCTAGCACCCCTTTCTTCAGTTTCTCTGCCTCTTAAGTCTTCCTGAATGGAGAACTTGTCTCTGAAGTCACACAGTGTCTCTGGTCCTTCCTCATCCCCTATTCTCTCGTATCATGTTTTATTCTGTTCTCTTTTTCTGCCAGGGTCCAGCTGTGTACTTAAGGTATTGTGTATATAATAGCATGTTTTTGGACACCCCCCCCAAAAAAAATTCCAAAGCCTATCAATATGTAGGGATCTTTATAGCATCTCAAGAGTTCTCACCTTTCCTCCATCCTGAATTTTCCTCCCCACCCCATCTCCTAAGGACTGGATGAAACTGAGACCAATATCTGTCTGTGTTTCTGTCTGTGTGTATCTGTATCTCTAAGTAAGGAATGGGGATAGTGTATATAGGCAGATGGAAAGGCTCTCATGCCTTCAACTCCATGGGGAGAGAGTTAGTTGAAAAAAAAAAAAAGAAGATCCATGTAGATTGTACATGTATAACCTGTAACAGATTGCTTGCCATCTTGGGGAAGGGATAGGGAAGGGGAGGGAGGGAGAAAATTTTGGAACTCAAAATCTAACAAAAATGAGTGTGGAAAACTGTCTTTACATGTAATTGGAAAAAAAATGCTATTAAGTAAAAAAAAAAAAGAGAAAAGAGGTAAGTGATGAAAAAATGGGAAAAAAAAAAGGATCATGAATGTTCCAATTCTGTACCCCTTTCCACTGCCTATCCAGGGCCCGGTTGATGCAAAGCTTTAAGGAGTCCCACTCCCATGAGTCCTTGCTGAGTCCTAGCAGTGCAGCTGAGGCCTTGGAACTCAACTTGGATGAAGACTCTATCATCAAGCCTGTGCACAGCTCTATCCTGGGCCAAGAGTTCTGCTTTGAGGTGGTGGCCAGGAGATGGGCTTTGGAGGGGAACCAGAGGAGAAGGGATAGAAGTTTCATTAGAGAGAATCAGGGAATGAAAACAGTGGGAAGCTGAAGAAAGTTAAGGGAGGAGAAAAGGGGTTAGGGGAGGAGTTCTCCAACCTTTGTGGCTTCTCTTCCTTTTGAGATCTCACCTGTCTATACTATATGCTCTTCCAGGTGACAACATCATCAGGGACTAAGTGTTTTGCCTGTCGCTCTGCAGCTGAGAGGGACAAATGGATCGAGAATCTGCAGAGGGCAGTGAAACCCAACAAGGTATTATGAAAAAAATTAGAGGACTAGGGAGAGAAATAGATAAAGGAGAAGAGGAGAAATCAGGAAGGATGGGAGACAATCTGTCATTTTTGTCTGGATCCTCCATTTCTCTCATCTTCTTCCCCGCCTCCACTTCACCGTCAAGCAATCTTATAGCCTTTGCTCAACTGTGGACTCAGACCTCAGAGTTCTTGTAGTTTAACTTCCTTCCTAATGCAACAAAAATAGGATCATATAGAATCCATAGATATAGAGCTGAAAGGTATCTTAGGAGCTATTTAGCCCAAACTCCTTGTTTTACAGATTGAGGAAACTGAGGCCCAAAGTAGTTAAGTGATTTATCACATGATCACACAGGTAGTAGATAACAGATAGGATTTGAACCCAAGTCCCCTGACTCCAAAGCTAGTGGTGTCTTCTTTGTACCTCATCAAGTGGCTCATCTATCTTCTGCTAGTAGTGTTCCTTATTTCAGGTGTTAACTAGTTAACATCTTAACTACTTAAAGTTGTTCCTTACTTTAGATATTAACACACTTATTATAAGGCAGCTATAGTTATTTTTAAAAATCCTCATATCCTTTATGTTGAATAAAAATATAAAATCTGTATCCCTGTAACTTTCATACTTTGGTCCTTGTTCTGCCATTTGGAACAATGAACAGAATAATTCTACTCCTTTTTTCGAATGAGTCAAATTTTTGAAGACAGCATGCTACACAGGATAATCAAAAGAGCACCGGCCTGTGATTTGGGAGATAATGGGGCACAAACTTATTGCCACCAAGAACTGTGACCTCGAATGAGACAATTCACTTCTCTGGGTCTCACAAGTTTGTTCATCTGTAAAATGAGTTGGACTCAATGATCTCTAAGGCTCCTTCCAGCTCAAAAATTAGTATTTATGTCTTAAGTCTTTTTCTTCTGCAGGTTAAATAACCTGAGTTCCCCAACTGTTCTGTCATGTGACACTATTTCTCAACTCTTCACTACCCTTCTCTGGAAGCTCTAGTCAGTGATATCACCCAGACTGAACAAGTGTTCTAGGAATGTTCTAATCAGTGCTTCCTTTAATCTGAAAACCTGGCTGGCATCATGTTGTTTTTTAGTACTTGTGTCATAATCATGACTCTTATTGAAATAAGACTAACTAAAACTCCAGGGGTTGAGTTTTTTTGTTTGTTTGTTTGTTTTTGACATGAATTGCTGTTGAATCAGATATTCCCTATCCTTATATATTTGTACTTATATATTTGATTTTTAAAAATCTAAACATAGGACTTTACATTTTCCCCCACTAAATTCTCTCTTTGGTTAGACCCATAGGTTCTGCCTGTCCCAACCTTTTTAAATCCCGATTCTGCTATCTAGCATATTAACTGTTCCTCCTAGCTTTGTGATCTGTCTTGTTATCTTTTTTTTTTCTCCCTGACCCTCTGTCTCTTTGGGTATCTCTATCTCTTATTCCCTTTTCCTTTGTGTCATTTCTCTACCGTCCTACCAGGACAACAGCCGGCGTGTGGACAATGTGTTGAAGCTGTGGATCATAGAGGCCCGGGAACTGCCCCCCAAGAAGCGGTATTATTGCGAACTGTGCCTGGATGACATGCTCTATGCTCGAACCACCTCCAAGCCTCGGGCAGCTGCTGGTGATACAGTCTTCTGGGGTGAACACTTTGAATTCAACAACCTGCCAGCTGTGCGCTCACTTCGTCTGCACCTCTACCGTGACTCGGACAAAAAGCGCAAGAAGGACAAAGCAGGCTATGTGGGCCTGGTGTCCGTTCCTGTGGCCAGCTTGGCTGGCCGACATTTCACTGAGCAATGGTTTCCTGTCAGCCAGCCAGCAGGCAGTGGTGGCTCTGGGGGTGCTGGAGGTGGTTCTGGAGGGGGAGGGGGTTCAGGAGGTGGCTCAGGGGGCAAGGGCAAAGGAGGCTGTCCTGCCGTTCGGCTGAAAGCACGTTATCAGACAATGAGCATCCTACCCATGGAGCTGTACAAGGAATTTGCTGAATATGTCACCAATCATTATCGAATGCTGTGTGCTGTACTAGAGCCTGCACTGGGTGTTAAGGGCAAAGAAGAGGTGGCCTGTGCCCTGGTGCACATTCTGCAGAGTACAGGCAAGGCCAAGGTAAGGCTTGGCCCAATATGGAGAGGGGAGGGGAGGAATTCTAAGGACATTTGGGACTGGGGAGAGTAGAAGAGAAGAGGCTGGTACTAAGGGAAAAGAGGCTTTTGCTTTCACAAATGTCATTTTGCAGACCTAGGGTGAGGGGTCAGAGATTATATCATTTCTTCAGACTGACCTTTGTACTTTTTTGGTACTCAGGATTTCCTTTCTGACATGGCCATGACAGAGGTGGACCGGTTCTTAGAGCGAGAGCACCTCATATTCCGCGAGAACACACTCGCTACTAAAGCCATAGAAGAGTATCTGAGACTGATTGGGCAGAAATACCTCAAGGATGCCATTGGTATGGCACTTAGCTCCAAAACCCCAGCCCTCAACATCCCTACTTAGTCCCAGACCCTGAACTTCATCTCCCACGATCCTAATCTGCCAAGTATAACCTCTCATTGTAATCTTTCCCGGCTCAGATCCTCTAGAACCCCAGCCCCTGACCCACTTGACTTCTTGACCTACCTAGCCTTGACACTTTCCTCTGTCCTCACTTTGGAGATTGTGACCTTTCCTGTGGTGGTGTGTTTCACAGGGGAGTTCATCCGAGCTCTGTATGAGTCTGAGGAGAACTGTGAGGTTGACCCCATTAAGTGTACAGCATCCAGTCTGGCTGAGCATCAGGCCAACCTTCGTATGTGCTGTGAGTTGGCCCTCTGCAAGGTGGTCAACTCCCACTGGTGAGACTTGGGACACTGGTTGGGAGGGCAGGGAGGAAAATTTGTTTGATACATATTTATTGAGCAAGTGAAGGAAACAGAGTTATACAAGAAATGCCACCTACCTGCCAAGAATTTAGTTTAGTAAAGGAATATCCAAATTCACAGAAAACTTTATGAAACAAAGCAGCAGAAGTACATGTGTGCATGGCACAATGAAAGTACTCTAGGAGTTCAGCACCCACTTCTTGGATAGGATGGTCAAGAAAAGTTTCATGAAGGAAAGTAGAATTTGACCTGGGTTTTGAAGAATGGGTAGAATTTCCATAGATGGAGATTGGAGGATGGGGTGGTCACTCTAGCCAGAGAGAATGGCAGTAGCAAAGGCAAAGAGATATATTTGGAAAGCAGCAAATAAACTTCTTGGGCTGGAGTGTTAGGGAGCATGTAGGAGTTCTGGAAGATGGGATAGGAAAGCTATAGCTGGAGCCAGAATGTGGAATGCCTTGACTATCTGTAGAGGAGTTTGAACTTCTCAGTATACTCAGTAGGTAAAGGGGAGATGCTGACGAATTTTGAGCAGGGTAAGGACGTGACCAAAGCACTGAATTAGTAAGATTAATCTGTCTTTGGTGCATAGGTTCAGGTGGAAAGACTGAGATGGTAAGAGCCAACTAAGAGGCTATTGTAAAATCTATCCATAAGACAATAAGGGCCTGAATTAAGGAGGTGTCAGTGTGAATGGAAAAGAAGGAACAGATGTGAGAGAGGTTATGAAAGAATTGAGATTTCATGTCTGCTTGTAGCCAATAAGTGGGAATCAAAGATTTATGGTTTTAAAGGTTGGGTGAATGGGAGAATGGTTGTGCCATTAACAGAAATTGGGACATCAAGAGAAGAAGCAGCTGAGTTGGATTAAAAAAGAGATGATGAGTATGGTTTTAGAAATGTTGAGTTTGAGATACTGATGGAATGGGATGGGGGTGGGGGAAGGAATGAGCCCTGGCTTGTTTCGGTGTTACATAGATTAAGCTTTGAGACTGCTTGTCCCTATTTCCTTGCAATCCAAAAGACTTGGGTGTCTAAGCACCTTATATCTTATTAAGTGACTCCCCATCTCTATTCCATCCTTGTCTCCCCCTGGTGTCTGTGTTTCTGTCCTCCCCATTTTCTCCCCTGGCTTTATCTCACATATTCTTCTGTCTCTCTCTTCCCTATTCCACTTCTCTATATCTCTTTTTCTTTTCACTTCCATTTCTTTCTTCTTCCATCTTTCTCCCACCCTATCTCTTTCTCTTCTGTACCCTGTCCCTCTTTCTCCCTTCCATCCCTGTCTCTCCTCCTGTCTTTCCCCTTAACTCTGTCTTCCCCCCTCAGCATGTTTCTTGGGACCTGAGGGGTCTCTGGGACTCAGTCCCGGTCTCTCTCTCTCTTTCTCTCTCTGTCTCCCCTCCCCTCCCCCAGTGTGTTCCCGAGGGAGCTGAAAGAAGTCTTTGCATCATGGCGACTTCGATGTGCAGAGCGAGGCCGAGAGGATATTGCTGACAGGCTGATCAGCGCCTCACTTTTCCTACGCTTCCTGTGCCCAGCTGTCATGTCCCCCAGCCTTTTTGGCCTTATGCAGGAGTATCCTGATGAGCAGACATCACGAACCCTTACCCTCATCGCCAAGGTCATACAAAACCTGGCCAACTTTACCAAGTGAGGGACACTCCATGGGGAGGGCTTGAAGGGTTAAAGAAACCATGATCCATCAGGGAGCCATTGGAGAAACCCAGATCCTGTCAGATTCCTTACCCACAAAATCCTTGAGACAGAGCACAGGAGTATGTCAGTATGTGTGTGTGTAAACCCTCAAATCTTGATTTTTGGCCAGGTTTGGCTCAAAGGAGGAATATCTGGCATTTATGAATGAATTCCTGGAGCTAGAGTGGGGATCCATGCAACAATTCCTATATGAGATTTCCAACCTGGACACACTCACCAATAGCAGCAGCTTTGAGGGATACATTGACCTGGGTCGTGAGCTTTCCACACTGCATGCCTTGCTCTGGGAAGTGTTGCCACAGCTGAGCAAGGTGAGAGACCTTCCCCTCAAGGTTCCTTCCAGAGACATTTCCTACCTCCAGTACCCCTTTAACTCCAGAGACTGCCTGACCCTTAGGCATAGATTTCTTCTAAATCCCACTCTTACCCCCCCACCCTCAATAGCCACGTCTTGATCTCTGAAGTACTGGCAAAGCTTATGAAGGTCATAAATACTCCTTCTCAACACCGGAAACACTCTTAAAGCTTGTTAACTTCTCCACATTATCCCTTTAGGAGGCACTTCTGAAGCTGGGCCCACTGCCACGCCTTTTGAATGATATAAGCTTAGCACTGAGGAATCCTCACATCCAAAGGCAGCCTAGTCGTCAAGGGGAGCGATTACAGGCCAAGCCTATGGTACTTCGTGGGCCATCTGCTGAGCTACAGGGCTACATGATGCGGGACCTCAATAGGTGAGAACCTTGATCCTCTTGTTCACTTCCTGCCCTCTAGGGATCCCTCCATCAGGGAACTCTTCCCTTCTACCCTAGCTCCTTACTGAAGTACTGACTATATGCACAGCCAGGAGAGAGGGAACCCCTTCCCTGGATCCCAGATTCTTCTGCTTGTCAGAGCCACTTTGTGTGGTAGAGAAAAAGAAAGAATTGATACAGAGAACTTCATAGGTAGAAATCCTTAGTGACAAAGACATAGAATGTGAGACACTGTGAGTTCTGGGGCAGGGGTGGGAATCAACCCCAACTGGAGGGAGGAGTAAGCAGTCTATTTCTGATTATCTTTCCCTCTGTCCGTCCGTGCTTGTCCTTCTACCATCATTTTCCTTCTGTCCTTACATGCCCATCCCTTCATCCCTTTTTCTCCCTCTGTGCATCTGTGCTCATTCCTCTCTGCCTCTCTGCATCTATGTCTATTCCTCTATCCATCTTTCTCCAGCTCCATCGACCTTCAGTCCTTCATGGTTCGAGGCCTCAACAGGTGAGGGGCTCTCCCCTCCCCCTGTCCCTCTTCTCCTTTCCTCTTTCCTTCCTTCTGAAACCTCCTCATCTCCTCCATATCTACCCCTCAGCTCCTTTTCCTCGCCCTCAGTTCTGCCTTTTTCCTCCTTCTCTTCCCACTCTCCCCTCCCTCAGATCCCTATTTTCCCTATCCCCTCCCCACTTTTCTCCTTCTAGTGTCCTTTCCTTTAGTTCCTCATTCCCCTCTCCCCCGTGTCCCTTCCCCTAACCCCACTTCTTTTCCCTAGGTTTCCCCTTTTCTCCCCATGAGTATCCTTGCTTGGGTCATGTTGGGCTGTGTCCTTCTGGTACCCCTGGACTCACCATCTGCCTTGATCTTTCCCCTGCTCCTCTCCCTGTCTTCTTACAGCTCCATGGACATGGCCCGCCTCCCCTCCCCAACCAAGGAGAAACCCCCACCACCCCCCCAGGAGGGGGTAAGGACCTGTTTTTCGTGAGCCGTCCACCCTTGGCCCGCTCATCCCCAGCCTACTGCACAAGTAGCTCAGACATCACTGAGCCAGAACAGAAGATGCTAAGTGTCAACAAAAGCGTATCAATGCTGGACCTACAGGGTGATGGACCAGGTGGTCGCCTCAATAGCAGCAGTGTTTCCAACTTGGCTGCTGTTGGAGATCTTCTGCATTCTAGCCAGGCTTCCCTCACTGCTGCCCTTGGGCTCCGGCCTGCACCTGCTGGGCGCCTCTCACAGGGCAGTGGCTCCTCCATTACAGCTGCTGGCCTTCGACTGAGCCAGATGGGTGTCACCACTGATGGTGTCCCTGCTCAGCAGTTGCGCATCCCACTGTCCTTCCAGAACCCACTCTTCCACATGGCAGCTGATGGTCCTGGCCCTCCAGGGGGCCATGGAGGAGGGGGTGGCCATGTTCCACCCTCTTCTCATCACCACCACCATCATCATCACCAGCACCACCACCGAGGTGGAGAGCCCCCTGGGGACACCTTTGCTCCTTTCCATGGCTATAGCAAGAGTGAGGATCTATCTTCTGGGGCTCCTAAGCCACCTGCTGCCTCCATCCTGCATAGCCACAGCTACAGTGATGAGTTTGGTCCTTCAGGCACTGATTTCACTCGACGGCAGCTCTCACTCCAGGACAACCTCCAGCACATGCTGTCCCCGCCCCAGATCACCATAGGCCCTCAGAGGCCAGCCCCTCCAGGTCCTGGAGGAGGGGGCTCTGGAGGAGGAGGAGGAGGAGGAGGACAGCAACCTCCACTGCAGAGGGGCAAATCCCAGCAGTTGACAGTCAGCGCTGTGCAGAAGCCCCGACCATCTAGTGGAAACTTATTGCAGTCACCAGAGCCCAGTTATGGTCCTGCCCGTCCCCGGCAACAGAGCCTCAGCAAGGAGGGAGGAGGAGGAGGAGGGGGCAGTGGGGGCAGCAGCGGTGGAGGAGGGGGTGGGGGGCTTAAGCCCTCCATCACTAAACAGGTGAGGGGACAAAAGGATAATTGGGTCAGTCAAATGGGGAATGGAAGGAGAGAAAGTGGGAAGGAAGGAACTGAGACCAGGGAGTTGGAGCTGAGAGTTTAGGTTTGAAAAGGGGTAGGTTATTTGGAGAGTCTGGGGTTGTGCTTGAAATTACACATCTAATTATCTCATCTCCAACTAGCTGTGCTTCTTTTACTATGTATATTCTTGTTTCTCCCATATTCTTTCCCCTGTGTTCTTCCCACCACACTCCAGCACTCTCAGACACCATCCACACTGAACCCCACAATGCCAGCCTCAGAACGGACAGTTGCTTGGGTCTCCAACATGCCTCACCTGTCTGCTGACATTGAGAGTGCACACATTGAGCGTGAAGAGTACAAGCTGAAGGAGTACTCCAAGTCTATGGATGAAAGCCGGCTGGATAGGGTACGCCTCCTCCCCCATCTCAAATCTTCTCTCTATCTCTGTGGACCCTTCCTTGAGCTTCCCACTAGGATTTCTTGTTATATACTCTCGTAGCTGCAGCTGTCCTCCTGGACCCCATTATACACATCAGAGGCCTGTCATCACTTTTCGGCAGGACAAGGGCACATGTAACCTCTGGAGATAAGAGTCCTGAGCTGAGTGTTTCAGGAATTAAGCAAAGAAAAGATAAAATCTCTTGCTTTCAGGACCTTCCCAGTCTAAAAAGATACAGTTCTCACTTTTGGGAAGTTTCCTGTCTGAGGGTAAAACATGGTCCCCACACATAGGGAGTTCCCAATCTAATAAGGGACCCAACTCCTACCTTTGGGGGGTGCCCAAGGATGGAAGGAGGAGACATGTAGAAAGACATGTAGGCAGAATAGTGTGGTGGAGAAAGCACTGGACTTGAAGTCAGGTAGACCTGAGTTCATTTAGATCCCACTTCTGACCTTTATTAGCTGTGTGACAACAGACAAGTCATTTTATTTAAGCCTCGGTTTCCTCATCTGTAAAATTAGAAAGTTAGATTCCTTGTCTTTCCGAGTATCTCTCAGCTTTAAACCTGTGGTCTATGTAAACAACTGAAAATATGTAGTCAGCTCTCAGGGTTTTTTTAATCTTGAAGATCATATATTTTGTGGATTATCCACAGTAAAATTTGAAATCCTGGGTTTAATGCCACATGCTCAAAATTTCAGTAAATTTGTGCTCAGAGAAGGAAAATTTCCCCCTCCCTCAATTTTTTTAAGCACTAAAAATATACAGTGTCTATGAATTATCTTGTTCTGTACTGTGTTACTGCTCCATATGGACAGTGGAGTTGATGTACAATAAATGACAGAAATACTTTTTAAAGAAGGGCTGAGGGGTGTTGAAGATTATGTTGAAGATTGGATAGGACTAATCAGGAAGGCTTCTTCAGGAAAAAAGCCACTTCAAGCCCAGGACAGTGAGTTTGGGAGTGGGGATGGGGTGGGGTGGGAGAGCTTCATAGGAAAGCAAATTAACCAGAAGGAAGATTGTGGGCTATGCAGAATGGAGGACAAGAGCTGAAGAACAGGAGTTAATCGGGGAAGGTTTTCTTGAGACTTTATCTTGGCAGTCTCCAAGGGGACAATTTGTAATTCTAACTCCTTTCAGTAAAGAAAGGTCAGAGCCAGATGTTAAGGAGAAATGAGATGAGGGGAGTGAACAAGGCCCTCCTTGAGGGATAATATTTAGGAACGATTTTCAGTATTGAGAAAAGTCTGTGTTGGATTAGGTGTGAGCTGCCTGAAAGCAGGCAGATGGACAGGGTTCTCCCCAAACTTGGAATTTTATAGTCACTGCCATAGAGAGGACTCTTCATTTCCTAGTTTGGTTCCCTACATACTGCTTTGAATGGAGGACTAATGGACTCCTAATTCATGACACCTCAAGGGAAGGAGACAGCCCAGACAAGAGAGTCAAACATAGACCTACCCTTTCCTGTCTTCACGTATTCTAAGCCTAGGGCAGAGAGGCATGTTAGTCAAAATTGGGGGTTAGTCTTTGACTTTACTTCCTGGAAAAGGGGCTTAGATTAGATGGAAAGATTCTAAAACTCCAGATTTATGTAAAGGTACGTTTCTGTTTCTCTGAGTATGTGGACATATGTGTACATATATGTCTGTATGTATACATGTTTATGTTCCTGTATGTACATTACTGGGTTTCTATTTCCATTCCCTAGATGTGTGACATCAGGGTGGGTTGGGATCTTCCATCTGACAGGAGAGAGGAGGGGCATGTGTGTACTCAGCAGGCAGGTAAAGAAATGAGATCCTTGAGTTTCTTGCCTGAAAACAGTGGGTTTGGACTTTGTTCAAAATGTAGTATAGCATGGGCAGCTAGGTGGTGCAGTGGATAGAGCACCGGTCCTGAAGTCAGGAGGACCCGAGTTCAAATGTGACCTCAGACACTTGACACTTACTAGCTGTGTGACCCTGGGCAAGTCACTTAACCCCAATTGCCCTAATAAAAAAGGTAGTGTAACAGTGTTTCGATGAGTTGTGGGAGGGGAAAGAAATCCATGTTTGGGTCAGGGTCAGAGCTGTCCCTCACAGTGCGGGGTGGTGTGCCCGGCGGGCAGGTGAAGGAGTACGAGGAGGAGATCCATTCGCTGAAGGAGCGGCTGCACATGTCCAACCGGAAGCTGGAGGAGTATGAGCGGAGGTTGCTGTCCCAGGAGGAACAGACTAGCAAGATTCTGCTACAGTATCAGGCAAGGCTGGAGCAGAGTGAGAAGAGGTTGAGGCAGCAGCAGGTGGAGAAGGACTCACAGATCAAGAGCATCATTGGCAGGTGAGGGGCGGCCTGGGAAGGGAGGGGTGACAGAGAGTGTAACTGAAGAAGAGAATCAAGCTTAGCCCCTTGAGAGGACAAGCTGTCATGTTCAGCCCAGAAGACACAGATGTCCCAAGCACAGATGCCTCTCACACCCAGAAATGAGTTACCTCTCTTTTCCAGTGGAGAATTACCAAACATAAATGAAAAACCCTTCCTAGGGATAAACATTCCCCCAGGAAAAAGATGTTTCCTAACTCCTAACCCCTATAGTGTTTTGGAACTTACCTCTGAATTGTTAGAAAATTCCCCACTGCTGTCTAATCTCTACTACTTCCACTCCCTGTATCCTAGGAAGGGACCCCAGACCTCAGATGATAACACCCTCAGCCAAACCTGGTCATTACTATCTTCTCTCAGCCTAAACAAGGATTCTCAAACTTCATAAACCCCATCTTTCCCATTTCTGGGGAGTAGTGAACTGTCTATTCTCAGAAAGGAACTTCCAAACCTCCATGACATCTCATCCTCAGCAAGTATTCTCAGGCCTGAGGCAATGAAACTTGCCCAGAAGATGCTCTCAGTAAAGATAACCCTAGGAACCCCAAAACTACCTTTGGGAACCCTCATCAGACTAGAAGAGAAGTAGTAGGAGCTGGGGTGGAAGAGATTGGAGGGTACATCATAGAGTAGGGTGTCATGGTAATGGAGATGCTGGGAAGAGATGCCTCAGGACAGGGAGTTTGGAGCAGGGGGCGGTGAAGTTGTCTTTGGTATAAGGAGTTTCTGGGAGGAGAGTTGTTATTACATTTCTAAGGGGGAATCCTGGGTAGGTATAGAGTAACCATAGGGCTAGAGAAAGGATACTAGAGGGAATTGTGGTAAGTCAGCAGTGTTAAGTGGTTATCAGAAGGGACACGCAAGGGGTCATAGTGTCATAGCATATCAAGAGTTACAAGGGACCTAAGAAGTTATTTACTCTGCCTGATATAAGTATTATGACATCCCAGATGAATGGTCATGCAGTCTTTGATTATTTCCAGTTATAGGGAACTACTAGGAGATGGTTGCGGAATGTTCATGAATAATTGTAGTTGCTGGATGGGGTTGCATAAATGGTTTCTGAGTGTTCTTGAGGGGAATAGATATTTCTGGGGCGAGAGGGGGGTAGTAGCTGTTTTTGGGGAGGGGGGAGGGTTAGTCTTAAATGGGTGGGATCTGAGCACCCTGCCCCCCATTAACCCCACTGAAGCCCGTCCCTTCAGGCTGATGCTGGTGGAGGAGGAGCTGCGCCGGGACCACCCCGCCATGGCTGAACCGCTGCCTGAGCCCAAGAAGAGGCTGCTCGACGCTCAGGTGGAAATTACAATGTCATTTATCTTCTCCGTGTCCCATCCCCATCCATCCCACTGTCCTTTGTGCTCCCAGTGCCACCAGTGAACCCATCCCAATCTCTAGCCATCCCACTTTCATCTGTGCCCAGTGCTCTTAGTGAATCCTCCAGTAACCCCATTCTCATCCCACTGTCTGTGCCCTGGTCACTCCCAGTAACATCTCTCCACTGTCAGTACTCCGACCCTTCCTGTTTTTCCTACCCCTTCCTATATCCCAGACCCTTCTTGCAGGCCCCTAATATTACTGTCCCTACCAGAGGTGGAAAATTCTGCCTTCCAGGAGCTATTCTGTGATAAAGGGTTATAGAAGCTATAATTCCCTATGATAAGAGGGAATGTGGCAGAGGATGCTAGAATCTGTTAGTTCTTGGTGGGATTAATAATCCCTCTCATAACTTCTGTTGTCTTGGCTACAGAGTCATAATTTCCCTGACTACCTGATCTCTCACAATGTCTACATCCTCTTTCAGCTACCCTTAAGGTGGTCCTTAAATATAATCATACCCCTTTCCCAGAGTCTCTGAGAGTATACTGATATACCCTGGGGTCCTTCATCACTTGGTCCTCATTGATTGCTGACTGACTCAACTATCTTCACTCTTTGACCTCCCCACCCTCTCCCCTGGCCTTATTTTTAAGCCTTTTCTCTTCTCATCAACTAGCATTCAGGACCAAACCTCCTTGACCTGTTTCCCCATTAGCCCTCTGACCCTACCTTCATCTTGGCCTTTTAAACTCATCCCATCTCCACCTTATTCTCCCTGACTTTACATCTTTTTACCCACTTGACTTCAAACTGACCCCTGATCCTACTGCCCCCCAGGTTCAACACTTTAGGTTCCTAATCCCTGACCCCATGACCCCACTCTCTCCCCCTGCAGCTCCTCATCAGGTAATTCTCCTGGTTCCGCTTTGGCTACTGGCGGAGGACACAGGGGGAGGTGACTCCGGACCACAGCAGGTTGGTCATGAAGCCCACTTCCCTCCACTCCCAAGAGACCTTTCTCACTCAGATAGCATACACAATTACCTGCCCTCCACACAGAGAGAATGCCTTCTCTCCAGATTTGTTCACATCCACAGAAATTTTTCCCCGTGATACTCATTCCTCCTGAATCTGAAGGATGCCCTTCAGATTCCTCATTGATATATCCAGACATCTAATCAATGTTCCAAAACACTTCCCCAGAGATAATTCTCTAATAGCATTTACAAAAATACCACATCCCACAGAGACTTGCTTGACATATTCAGTAATCTTCCCCTCCCCCATACGCAAATCAGCCTACCCTAGAGAGAATCCCCTTTCCCTACACAAAGGTAGCCCTTCCCTCACTATCTTATCCCTGAACCTAATCCCCTTTCCTCTCCTACCTCCCCCATTGACATCTGTCACCCCCCATTTCACCAGTGCAAATACTGAGCTTGGGGAGTTAGGGGAGGGGAGAATGTTATAGAAGCTAGGGCTGATGGGTTAGCAGGCCCTTCATCATAGGGACCATGTCGATTGCAGCAGGTAGGTGTGTAAGGGGGAAGGGCATTTTCTCTCTTTACCTTTTCTGTATGTCTTTTCCCAAACCCTTTTCTTCCTCTTTCCCTCACTTCTTCCTTCCCTCCCTTTCCTCTGTTTTTCCTCCTCCCTTCCTTTCTTCAGTGTGAGGGTTGGAAGGCATCTGAGATTTATGACTCGATTTCTCAGTGGAAGTGGAGTTTTAGAAGTAGGAGTTAAATCAGGGAGAGTTCAAGTGATACTAGAACATTACCCTGACTGGAGAAGAAGGAATGTATGGGATTGAGAGGGAAGGGAACGGGAACATTGCTAAAAGTTGCTTTGAAAGGGTGGTATATTCAGATAAATGTCTAGACATGAAATCACTCACAGATACTGGAGTGCTGGTATAGGCTTCTCTTTGTAGACCGGAAAAAATGTCCTTATGAGATCCAGGGGTCTTATTCCTAGGTAGAGATGCCTGGTAGATAAAACCATGAAAACCGTGTAAAAACCCCTTCTTCCTTTTGCCTAGCATATCCTGCTTTTTCTGGTTGGTAGCCCTACCACCGCACCCCACTCCCCCAAGACTGTGGACTTTGTGTAAGAGACAAATGGGTCTTATACTTAAAAAGCCAGTGAGGAGTGATGGATCTGGAGTCAGAGGACCTGGGTTCAAATGCCACCTTTGCTGCTTTATTTCCTGTGTGACTTTGGGCAAGTCATTTCTCTCTGGGTTTCATGTTCCTCATCTATAAAATGAGACAGTTGAACTAAATGAACTTCTAAGTTCTTTTAGTTCTAAGATGTCTTTCCAGCTTCAAATGTATGATTCTATGAAAATAAATGGAAGCCTGTCCTGTTAACTTCTGGCCTCATGATAAGTATTAAGATATTTTATTTTAATTTCTTATTGATCTGCAATAGAGAGTGAGGTTCTTCTATTGTTATTTTAACATTATCTGCCTACTCAGTTTTTCTCTCAAGTATGGTTACTGATAAATGCAGGATAGGACCTCACTACTTAAAGGAAACTTGTGGTGATTTATAAAGTGAATAATTAAATCATAACTTAATTCGTCTACTTTCCAAATTTAAGTGTATGGGGATGTATAGGGGCATGCCTCTAGGCTGTTTCCAGCTGAATCTCCAAAGGAAAGATGGGGTTTGAAATTCTCTTCCTCCCTGCCCCTCCCCAAATTCCCTAAAATACTTTATTATCTCTTCTCTTCTGACAATTCTCCAAGAAAATGTATGGCAATTCAGTTTAGGATGAGGGATTCATGCCCTTGTGAGAGCTGAGCTATTTGTTCCTAGGGTAGAGGAAGGGGAACAGATCTCTGGGTAGAAGGAGTGATCAATTATACCTTCACTTCAATTTTATGATTCCTCAGGTAGTGGTCAGATAAACTTCACATTTCAAATCTTACTCTCCAAAGCCAACCATAAGTAATTTGAGATTTAGTCTGGACCACAGTGTTTGGATTATTTGGGGTTCTGTTTCCCTGCTATTAAAAGTGAATCATTTTGTGCTTGCATTAGAAAAAAAGTCAAGAGAAGAACCTGAGAGGAAGAATTTTAGACAGCTCTTTCATTCCTTCCCAACAAAAGAAATAGAAGCAGGAGAATAAGAGCAAGACTGGGAGTTAGGTGCCCCTCTTTGACTATGAGAGTGTCATTAGAGAGCACACCTCAAAGCTAAGGAGACTGGGTTCAGGTCCTGCCTCTGACACCCAGCTGACTGTCTTTGATCCTGGGCAAGTCACTTGACTTAGTGAGCTAAGGAGAGCTTCTTCACCCAGTAGTTCCCTATACCAGTGAAATCACTTGTCTAGCCTCTGTGCCTCTTTGATTTTAAGGCTAAGCAGAATAACTGAAGGAAAGATGGGCTTGAAAAAAAGGTGAGGCCTATTCAGGTTTCTGGAAGTACAGAGACTGGAGGGCAAGGAGTTACTGCCCTGGCCCCTAGTCATTTCTGATGTAAGAATGAGGGGGAGACAGCCACTCTTTCCTGTTATTTTAATAACATTTTCTCTCAATAGGACTGTCCTCCTCAAACCCTCTCTTCACATGGGTGCCCCTCCCTAATTTGGAATATATTATAATGGGGGGAGGCTGGTCTTAAATAAAATACATCTGAGCGATAGAGTATTTAAAAGAAATGGAGTTATTATTTTAAAATACATACAGTAACTAGAACTCAGCTAACAGTGTTTCCTAATTGAGGCCCTTAGGAAACCTGATTTAATGAATACACAGGAAAGAAAAGTTTGTTCTTTTGTGTAGGTTAAATATCTCCCCTGCAGTCACATTTCTGCCATTAATTTGCCAAGCACACCCTTTCTTCATAGAAAAAAGTAAACTTCAGTCTGTTCTTTGCTCATGTTATCACAAAATCTAAATTGGTAGGGGTCCAGATTAATGAGATTTTTTGTATAGCCCCCCCCAATACTGCCCCTGTTCCCTAGTCACAAAATTCCTAGAGTGTATTCAGGTAAAGATAGAGGACGTTAGGTTAGTTGTGGAGGAGGTAGGATTAGAAAATAGCTAGCATTTATATAGTACTTTAAGGCTGGCTAAGGGCTTTCTAAATATCATCTTATTTAATTCTCAAAACTACCTTGGGAGGTAGGTGCTGTTATTGTTCCTGTCTTACAAATGAGGAAACTGAGGCAGGCCTAGATAGTAAATGACTTGCCCAGGGTCACACAGCTAGTAAGTGTCTGAGGTGGGATTTGAAGTCAGTTTTGTCTGGTCTCTAGCTCTCCTGTTCTAGAGGCCACTCTCTGCCTTCTAGCTGTCTAGATTAGATGGGGTCCTTTATTCTTCTGAGCTAGTTTCTTGGTTTGACTCTCTGGTTTAAGTGCCCTCAACTTGTACAAGGGAATGTGGGTCTGGAGGAAAGGATAATACCTTCCTCTGTCCTCTCCACCCCTCCCAGAGGATGCAACTTCTTTGATGAAGGTGAGAAATGAGATTTGTGGGGAGGGCTGAGGGAGGAACAGAGGGTGAGTCCTGGGGTTGGGGTGGAAACCATGGTTGTTGGGGGAAGGTTGGTTGGTGGGGACAGAAATGAGAACCCCTTGAAGCGTCTCAATAAGTCCGCGCTCTCCTTCTTTGGTGTCTTGCAGGAGAGGCAGCTTCCCACCCTGGGTCCAGCAAACCCGCGTGTGACGCTGGCTCCCCCCTGGAATGGCCTGGCTCCCCCACCCCCACCGCCCCCACCCCGGCTGCAGATCACAGAGAACGGCGAGTTCCGAAACACCACGGACCACTAGTCCACCCAGCCTCATTGACATCTGTCAACCCTACCACTACCATCTCCAACCCTGGACCACCGCCTGCCAGAGACCAGATGTCGCCGAGGGACCAAGGGACTGACTTCTCTGTGGGAATGACTCCCACCCCTACCCATCATTCTTCAGGGGAGGGGGCTGGGGACCCTCAAACTCTCCTTCCCTTTCTGCTGGGGCAATGCCTCCTGTATGTCTCCCCAGGGCTCTCCTTTGAGGGCCCTCGCCTCTCATACATCTCCCTTCCACTCTGGGGTGCTATCCCCATCTTCTGCCTCATTCCCACTCCCCTGAGCACCGGGGGACAGTTCTCACTCCCATCTTGGGGGGTGTGACACCTCCAAACTCTCAACTTCAGGGTGATTTTTTAGCTGTAACCAGAGCCGACAATCTAACTCCCCCATCCCCCCCATTTTGGCCTCCCCTGCCCCCCTTGTTATGGGGAGGGGTCCCCAGATGGGGGCCCTACACCCCTTTGATTTCTCAGGAGCGCCTGGGGGGGCTCAGCACGCACAAACTCCCTCTCCTTCTGCCATTCTTCTTAAACTCACTCCCTCCCACCTTGACCCTAGATGGGGAGGAGGGGGCCACTAGGGGCAGGGAAGGAGGGGTTGGGCAGGGGGGATGGGAGTCTTCTCCCCTTCCTCCCACACCTGATCTGCTCTTGGCTGGTCCCAGAGCGGGGTGAGGGGTCTTATGCCCCAGCCTCCCCTGGTGTGTTGGGTGGGTGGGTGGGAGAAATGAGGCAACAGGGAGAGGTTGGGGTTTACGAGGGTGGTGTGTGTTTATGGGGACACCAATTTATCTGCCTCCCCTAATTCTCTCCTGCTCCCTCCCTCCTGCTCTCTCCCTCCCCTTGGTCTCTACTCCCAGGGGGAGGGGGGAACTTAATCTAGGAAAAGCCATGTCTCTCTCCCCCGAGGGTGGGGTGGCGTAGGGGGCCCCCTTCCGTGTCTCTGTCCCCTTGGGAGGTGGGACAGGGCTGGGCTTCCCTCTTCCCCTCCCCACTTCCCCCTCTCCCATTCTCTTACCGCCAGCTCCACAATTTTTCGGTGTTTCTCTCTGTACATAGCTCTTTGGTGGGATGGGAAAGGTAGGATGAATGAGGTTTGGGGGAGGTGGGCCATGGGGGAGGAGGGAACCCCCTCTTTGGTATCCCCTTCCCCTAACTGCCATCCTCTCTCCCTGCCTTGCTCTTTTCTTCTTTTGTTTGGTATTGGGGCCCTCGCCCTACTGCCCTACCCCATCTACCCATATTATTCTTTTGTATGGACAGTTCTCCCACAATTCTACTCTCCTCATGTACCCAGCCGGGGCCGAATTTATAGTATATAGAAGTTGTAAATATGTGAAATTTTATCCCCTGTGCCCTTCTCTCCTTTGCTCTTCCCAAATTTAGGCCCCACTTCAGTGCCCCTGTTTCCTTCTCCCATCTTTGGCTGTTGTAATTATCTGGGGTTTGTACTGTACATATCCAGGGTGTGTGTGTGTGTGTGTGGGCTGGGGGGTGATTCCTCTGTACAAAGCTTCCTGGCCCTCTCCTCTTCTGTGCTCCCTATCCACCCTTCTAAGGGTGGGAGACTTGCCCTACCTCTGGTTATTTTTTTTTCTCGTTCTATGCCCCAAATCCATCCATAGCCTTCTCCGTTCCCCTCTCCCCATCCTATTTTTCTCCACTCCCAGCCCCATTTCCTTTTTTTCTGGAGTGTGTGGTGAAACAGAAAATCATGTTTAATAAAAGGAGATTGTTCTTTTATTGCTGTGCTCCTTTCTCCCTGCCCAGCCCACACAGGAACACCCCCCCTCCCTCCATAGTAGTAGTGGGATCTCCTCAGTGAAGGCAAGACTGGGAGCCATTGACTACATTATTCCCCTCTATGATGTCACAACCTCTGCTCTGACATGACTACTCTGATTTATTTTAAAGTTATTAAGGGCTGGCACTCTGGGGGAAGGATCCTCCCTTTTCAACCAGAAGGGCCTCTTTTTAGGCTATCTCCCTGCCCTAAATTTGGAACTTGCCTTACCTCTCGTGGAGCTCGTTGTTTTTGCCCTACATACACCAGGGCATATGCCAAGGGTGGCCAGACTGACCAAGAGGTAGGGGCTAGGATTGACTGATACTTGGATAAAGGGCTGCAATAAATTTATTTTTCAAAAACTTATTACCCCCACGTTTTTTTCTCTATTGTTGGTTGGCTAAGGGCAGCTAGGTGACACAGTGGATAAGAGTGCCAGACCTGGAGTCAGGAAGACTCATCTTTCTGAGTTCAAATCTGGTCCCAGACACTACCTGCATGACTCTGGTCAAGTCACTTTACCCCATTTGCTTCAGTCTCCTCATCTGTCAAATGAGCTGGAGGAAATGGCAAACCACTCCAATATCTTTGCCAAGAAAACCCCAAATGGGGTCATGAAGAGTCGGACAAGACTGAACAGCATCAAATGGTTGGTTAAAGTAGTTTCATGTGTCTCATAATATTTCTAGCATTTTGTGTCCTTGTTAAGGCAATCCTCAAGGTTCCTAAAAGACAGGTTCCCTATACTTTTAATGATAGAGTAAATACAATCCATAGTAGTTATCATGGTTGTTTCAAGGTTGACAAATGAAAGACTTGGCTTTAGGGCTAGAATTTGGTCATCTTTGGTATGAGCCGAGTTTATCTGCTACTTCTGGCTTCAAAATACCTTCTCCATAGAAGACAACCCTCTCACCCTTACCCCATCTACCACCCCGGTAGAATGGTTAAGTCTTATTGCCCCTTCTTTTAAATGGTTACTAAAAGCCAATGTTCTTTTCCCCCTGATGCTTGTCAAGCCCTGGTCAAAGTGGCCAACCTTTTTTTTTTTAAATTTTTATTTCATTTTCTCCACTTACTAGTATTTTATTTTTCCAGTTATATATATGGTTTTCAACATTCATTTTTATAAGAAAAATTTTGACTTCCAAAATTTTCTCCCTCCCTCCCCTCCCTCTTCCCTAAGACAGCAAGCAATCTCATATAGATTATACATGTACAATCATGTTAAACATAAACATTAGTTATGTGAAAGAAGACTGAACAAAAGAGAAAAACCACAAGAAAGAAAAAAACAAAAAGTGGAAGTAGTATGCTCCGATCTGCATTCAGACTCCATAATTCTTTTCCTGGATGTGGATAGCATTTTCCATCAGGAGTCTTTTGGAACTGTCTTGGATCATTGGGAAAGGGCTAAGTCTATCAAAGTCGGTCGTCATGTTACTGTGTACAACGTTCTCTTGGTTCTTCTTACTTCACTCAGCATCAGTTCATGTAAGTCTTTCAAGGTTTTTTTGAAGTCTGCCTGCCCATCATTTCTTATAGCACAATAGTATTTCATTACATTCGTGTACCACAACTTATTCAGCCATTCCCCAAATGATGAGCATCTCCACAATTTCCAGTTCTTTGCCAGAAGGTGGCCAATCCTGACGAGGCTTGTATGCGCTGCAAACGCTGACTTCTGATTGGTCGCCGTAGCAGGCCCCGCCCAATCGCGTTGAAGCTGGTGTTGGGGCGCGGAGGCGGCGGCGCGTTTCCTGCTAGCGGACAGCTCGAGTTCCCGCCTGGAGGTATAGCTGGGGCAGGAGGAGGGGCTCCGAGGCTCCGGGGAACGGGAGGCTGGGGAAGGGCCGGCGGAGAGCCCCGCGGGCGCCCGGGAGCGGGCTCAGGATGGCGCGGGCGGGGCGCCCGCTTCCGGAGTCGGAGGGCTTTTAGAGGTGGGGCACCTGCGGCCTTGAGTCCACGTGTGGCCTTCTAAATCCTCAAGTGCGGCTTTTTGACCGAACCCCGGTTTTGTTCTGTAAAATTTGGATTCCGTTCAAAGGCTGCAGTTAAGGATTTAGAAGGCCGCAGGTTCCCCACCCCCAGCAAGACTTGGGGACAGCCAAGGTGTTACTGGCCGTGGCCGGGGTTCGAGGCGAGGGCGCACGGCGGCCTGAGTGGAGCCGGCGCCGCGGACGGGAGGAGAGGGGTGTCCAGGCACTGAAAGTTGGGCAAGTCGTGTAGAGCCGAGGGGACGCGCAGCCTCCCCACCCCCCGGCCGGGGCGACTCTGAGGCCGGGTCTTTCCTCCACAGCCGCTGCCGTGGGAGGGCCTGCCTCGTCGGCCCCGCCCCTCCTCCGGACACCATGGATACCCACGGTTCCTTGGCCCCGGTGCCCCCGGCCCCCTCATGCCCGGTCTCGGCCCCCAGGACCATCCAGATCGAGTTTCCCCAGCATAGCTCCTCTCTCCTGGAGGCCCTCAACCGCCACCGTTTGGAGGGCAAGTTCTGCGACGTCTCCCTCCAGGTGCAGGGCCGGGAGCTCCGGGCGCACAAGGCAGTGCTGGCCGCCGCCTCCCCGTACTTCCACGACAAGCTGCTCCTGGGGGATGCGCCGAGGCTCACGTTGCCCAACGTCATCGAAGCCGATGCCTTCGAGGGGCTGCTCCAGCTCATCTACTCTGGGCGCCTGCGCCTGCCGCTGGACGCGCTCCCCGCTCACCTCCTCGTCGCCAGCGGCCTTCAGATGTGGCAGGTTGTGGATCAGTGCTCAGAGATCCTGCGAGAGCTCTGCGAGGGCACCTCCAACCACACCCTCCTCCTCTCTTCCTCCTCTTCTCCCGGGGTCTGGTGTTCCCGCCCAGCCCCATCCCAGGCTCCCGTACAACCCCCCACTCCAGCTGAGAGCACTGTTGTAGGAATGGGGGGTGAGCTGGGGGAGGTGCTGCAGATTCAGGTAGAAGAAGAAGAGGAAGAAGAGGAGGAGGAGGAGGAAGAACAAAGAACCTTACCAGTTGTCCCACAAACCCAAAGAGTGGCAGGGGGGACCCCTCGGCCTCGTGCCCCCAATTCGCTGCCTATATCTACCACCACCCGCAGGTTACCAGATGGTGAAGGAGTCTCAGCTGAACCTTCCACCCCTCCTACACCACTGCCCCCCAAAATCTTCTATATTAAGCAAGAGAAGCTTGATCCTGAGG